TTTGTAGTGACCCTATTTGCTGTACCAGCGGTCGCGAGTTCGAGTCCCGCTGGGGGCATTCATTTGTGTGATGACCATGAATGTTTATACTCCAGCCATGAGTGTATATTTATAATATGTATGTATTTAAAATTTTACATGTGTAGTGTATCAACTATCTGGTATCCATAACACAGGCCTCGTAGCTTACCATGGAACTAGATGGTGCTGTGTGTTAATGTCCCAGCATATTTATTTAACTATTTTCAAATTTAGAGAATAATTTAGATGCTCGCGTTACCTGTTTGTTACCTTGTGTAAATACACCACTCCAAAATGCCCTAGCTTGATGTTAGTTAGCCTATAATATATCCTCAATAAATAGTTTATAAAGTGCAAAAACATTTTTTCCTGATTCTTAAGTTCCAGAGTTCTTTTAAACAAACGAACAAACAACCAAAAATATTAGTTTTATATATAATTACATATTATAATGTATGTATGTGTATCTATATAACCATTTTATGTAAAACAAATACCTAGAGCTCTACAAACTGGAAGTACGGGCGGTAAGAACAGAACGTGCAATTCTATAACCCTGTATTTATACGCAGAGATAGCTATTGAAAGGAGCATTAAAATAGATTGTTTCTTTGATGTTTTGTTTTATATCCTAGAGAATGCTACAGCAAAATGATAGGAATGACTATAATAAAACTATAAATACTTCATATTTTTGTCCGTACATGTAAATAAATCCAAATACATAATATATTTGTTTAATAAGAAATCTGGTAAAATAGCTAATATGATCATTACAATGATAGCGAATTCACTTCAACATTAAGTTGCATAATCGTATATTTAAAAATACACAACCTCTTATAAAGTGTTCAATGATACTTACATACAAAGTACCGGAAAAAATATTTGGACAGATAAAAATAACCGGAAATCACAGTTGCTTGCGTAATCTATCATTGATGATTGAAGATTCATATTTTTATTAAAACACACTCGACAAACGAATACATTATGAATATATTATTCTCGTATGTAATTAAGCCGAGAGTTACCAGATTTTCTTAGTTTTAAAGTGTTTAAGACGCAATGGGATTACTTAGTGTGTGAAATCTAGTGAAGACGTTCAAACCCCGAATCTGGCATCTGAGAATCTCATAAACTAATTACGAACGTTGGGAAATGCATTTACGCATACAGACGGTGGTAATGTGGGACTTACCGGCTAGAATGGCCAGTTCTACCGACAAAAACCCAAAGAAAACTCACCCGTCTGTCCAAGCCAAATGTAATGTAAGTTGCAATCTGCTATCAGATAAGTGTCAGAAGCAACACGCATGATATACTCACCCTACCCAAGGTAGGCTGCCTCCCACTATGCCTCTTGACTTCAAGCTCGGCTGGATTGCCGGACGGTAAATGAGCTTCCAAGTTTTGGACGCCAAAAAAGGTATTCTAGTTATATGCTAAGAATACGGCGACGCAAGGCAACAAGTTCGAGAAGCAAATACAAACACTATAGAATATTATCACGCTCAACGTATACAAACTTGTCACTACATATACGAAGCAGTTAAAGCACAACGTGGTTTAATCAATAGTGTGAATACATCCGTAAACTATTCAAGAATATGATATGTCCACTTAATCACTCAGTGGTTCACAGGGTTAGGATTCCGTAGGGAAACTAGGGAAACAATTTTTAGGCCCAGATGAAAAATGAAATGCACCCCTAAGCAAATCCTGCACGCATATTGCATTACAGCTTTAGGGTTCAGTGGTCTACTCTAATTCAACATGCAATTACAACAGACCAGAAATGGTCGTAGTTATATCTTTTAGCCACAATAAAGAAATAAAAAAATATAATTCCATAGCGAAAAGGCCAAAAACATAACTTTATTATTTCGTCAAGTCTATCTATCCGTATGTCAGTGTACTTGCAGACTATTGGGCCTCATTTGCTAGTACTTCTTACGAATTTCTTTCATATCTCATCAATTTCTATAACTCATTATTGACTTAATGCTGGCCGACGTATCCAATCGTCTTAACCTTAATAAGCGTTAAGTTAAAATATTTTTATTATATTACGGTAAACGCTTTAGAATTTATGCCTCTGTATCGTTTAAAAAAAAATTAAGAGAAAATATTCAAGAACGTTTAATGCGCTTTTTACCTCGTTTACATAAATTCATTCGAGAATTTCGTTTAATATATTTTAATATATCCTTATTTATTTATTTATATATAAGGCAGTAGCCCAGAGGTAGCGCGCTCGCTTGGGAAACCTAGTGAAGCCAGTTCAAATCCCGGGTCTCGAACCTCTGATGTAATCACGTGCGAAACAATTTCCAACATTATTACCACTTGCCTTATGGTGAAGGAAAAATATCGTGATGAAACCTGCATGTCTGAGAGAACCTAACAAGTTTTCTAAAGATATGTAAAGTCCGAAAACCCGCACTTGGCCAGCGTGGTGGACTATGGCCTGACCCCCCTCGTATTGAAGGGAAGCCCATGCCCAGCAGTGGGACGTTAAAAAAGGGATCATCCCTCTACCTACATATTTATATTATACAGACCGACAAGAAGTTGTAAAAACGCCTATATACCTATTACTTCCCAAACATTCATTAAAATAATAATTCAAAATAATTCTTCCTGTTGAAATGTGATTATTAAGTGTTTGAATCCAAATGAAGCTAAAAGAGTGTTAAAAATAATATATACATATGTATACACGTTTGATAGGACTACGGTTTATTAGGTATCTACGAATAGAATAGATAACAATGCAATGGTTATCGCTAATATCTCTCACAGTATATCAAGTACTAGAGCTGACAGACAACACTCCAGCCCGTATATAGCATGTCGCGATAACCTTTAGAGTCGAGCGGTAAATCGTTTTCACTTTCCTTTTGACCCAAAAACTAGCTAGCTTTGGGACTTTTGTACTAACAATGACACAGTATTTAAATAGATTTACATCTAATATAACGTTAATGTAAAAATTTTAATTGAATTTACTTGTGATTTGTTTCTTTGTTGGGTAAGAAGGTTTTGTTTTTTTTTTTTGTTTTTAGTTTGTTACATGCTGATAATATTATATTGACCATTTTTGAATATGTTGATCGAGGGATAGAGTTTTTTACAAATAGAGGAGCTTTTAGATTCTACTATTTTAAAAGCTTTTATTACCTTCATTCTTTAACATATTGAGCAGAACTCACTAATCATATAACTCTTCAAAATAAACTTTGTTATTTAAACTAGCGACTCACCCTCGCTCCGCTCGTGTTTATCCCTACTTACGTTTTAACGTTTTGTATAGATTTCTCAGAGATGAGATGTTTTCCCGCAGTAAAAAGTATCCTTTATCTTGACCCGCATAACCAGCTATCATTATGCCAAATTTCATCAAAATCCTTCCAGTGGTTTTTCCGTGATGTGGTCACGGACAGAGAAAAATTCTAAAAACTATAAAAAATGCAACATTTTGCCGAGAAAAGGTAACATTACACTTTCTACGAGTATATTGTAGAAATACTATTGAGAAATAAATTTATTTAGAATACTTAAACCATGACTTACGAGCAGACTCATCACGTGGCTTGCCTCAAGTCATCATGCTTTCATTATATTTCTAACATCATTTAACGTAACAGCTTAGATATTCGTGTTATCGTCCTTAGTTATGTACATATGTATGTATTTACTAAGAAAATATTCTATACTATCTACTCCCTATGGCATTACTCGTACTACATCTATATTCTATATCTCTATTTATTGTTGATATGAGGTGGCTTAGAAGCGCACGAACTGAGTACCCTACTTTAATTTACATAACCAGAAAACTGGAATAGAATTTTGTTGTGTGTTTTATTTACCTATGCAAAAAGCCAAATCTCGAAAACCAGGCACATTAAATATACATATAATAATTCTATGAATTGCTTTCTATTACATTTCAAACAAACTGAAAATAAAACTTTCTGACATCTTTACTAATATTATAAAATTAATGTAAAAAATCTATGTATTTCTCTATTTGTTATTATATAAACCGCTGAACAGATTTCGATGAAATTTTGCGATGATATAGATTGCATACATTTAATTGGTATTTTGGTTGATTTATATCTGAATTCATCAGATCACAACTTTGACTGCTTTACAATTTTATTGTACGAAACTTAATCTTGAATCGAACGATAAATCTTTCAGAAAAGGAAATACCTAATTATACCGTACACCTTGGGAAGTAATAAAATCGATCATTATGAAAAGAAGCAGGCGCGGTACGTGGGTTCTATTCTTGGTGCATTCCTGAAGGGGCCATACAAGGAATTGTTTTAATTTTGGCCCGACAGCACATTGCCTGCCACTTGTACGGGGTTAAGTAGAGTTAAACCGATTAGAAATAAGCGGCTAATTTTATATATTACATTTCTAGTGATCATAAATAATTTACGACTGCAAAAGATGAAAGCTTCTTCGTTTATATAGCTTTTTACTAATATTAGGGCGATATTAAATACGTAAATTTAAAATTTATTAGACGTTCGTTTTTAGGTTTATAGTTTCCAAGTATAGATCCGTACCCGAAATTCACTTTTATTATCTAATCTATACTAATATTATATATTTGAATGTTTGTGAGTATGTATGGATGTTTGTTACTCTTTCACGCCAGAACGGCTGAACGGATTTAGATGAAATTTGGCACAGAGATAGATTATAGTCTGGAATAATACATAGGCTTCTTTTTATCCCGGAAAAATATACGGTTCACGAACCCAAGCGAAGCGAGGGTGACCCGCTAGTTATCTTATACGATGATGACGTTCTAACATTAAACAAATCAATCAGATATAATTTTAACATAGGAATAAATAGCAAAATACATATCCCATTTAAAATATTTTTATATAGATCTATACTATACGTATAATAGCTTTAGAAATTTTAAGGAAATCTACAATTTATTCCAGGACCTAGACACAGATATTGGGGTCGATTACGCTAACGATGACGGTGAAGAATGGGACCCCTTAGAAGAAGACACCGGTTCCACTAGCAGACCTGTGCTGGGAGTAACTCCTTCTGCCTTCACTAGATTGAGTGGCTACCGCCATACTATTGTCTCGGCTGTTGATCCAATAGCTGCGACTAACGAAAGGCCGAGGATTTTGGATGATTGTAAGTATTTTTTTTTAAACTTGTAAATGACTCTGATTACTATGACTTACGTCACGGGTTCAATTATTACACGAGATGAATATTTAGGTTGAGCGTACAGTATATGTCACTCCTAGACTTAAAAAGCATACATATAATAGCTTCTACACTAAACTTCTCCCTTTAAAAATCTCTTTTGTTCCATTCAAACAAAGTTAATGAATGAGTGAAAGAAAGAAAAATAGTTAATAATAAATTAAATTTCTTATTTTTTGTCATATTAGTACCTAATTAGAAAGTATATACAATATTTTTATCTATTTCCTTTTAGCCCATGCGACAGCAGAGGAACGAATAGCTCTTCGTAAAGGAGCAATCGCGAACGTCGGCAATGTGGTGAAATCTGGAAAGTGCCTCACGCCGCAACCGAGATGGTTCTTTGTAAGAAAATTAGCGCCCGCCGCTGACACTGTGTAAGTTTATGCTAACAACATGGCTTGTTGACTTAATATAGGTACTTGACAGTTAATCTAATATTATAATTATTTATTTAATGTGAAAGTCTTGATGTTTGGATGGATGTTTGTTACTCAATCACGGCTGAACGGCTTATCCGATATGGATGAAATTTGGCACAGAGATAGATTATAATCTGAAATAGCACATAGACCACTTTTTATTGCGGAAAAATGTACGGTTCCCGTGGAATAGATTTGTTTTTGTTTTTCATACTGTAAAGTCATACTATATAGTATGCAGGTTTTAATATTTTAAGCCTTGAAATTGACGTATTTAGATAACGATTTTTTTAAATATTAGTAAGACTTGTGGTGTGATTCATATTAAGAGCAATTTTCGAATTAAACAGCGTGAAACGGCGCGGCATACAGGCTCTTTAAACAATTTTATAAATAACTAACGATCAGCCCTCACTTTCAATAAGCACACAAAATATAAACGTCGCACGCACATCAGCCGTGGATTACGTCAGGCATGACATTGCTGCTATTACTCTTAGTAACGACCTATCGTAACTAAATATATACTAAGACATGAATAGATAACTATTTTTTACCCTAAGAAATCATATAAATACATACATATGTCATTGGTTTTTAAATTAAAACCCCTTAAATGGATAGACAGAGAATGTGACATTATCTTTTATATTATAATTAGCAATACCCGCGGCTTCGCCCGCGTCCAAACTTCCGATCGCTAACAAAATTCACAGGATCACCCGCTGGGCTAATCTGAAGATTACCTGAAAATTTCATCAAAATTGTCCCAGCTGTTTTGGAGTCCTTAGGAAAGATACATACACACATCGATTTTTATTTTATTTAATCAACAATTTAAATTTATTTATTACTCGAAAAATGGGAGTCTTTTATGAAAATTTAGTGACACACCGACTGCAGCGCCTCATATTGGATCCAATTGTGTTTTCAAACCATCCAGGAGCCTATTGAAATATACACACAAAATTTCCTCCAAATCGGTGCAGTCATTTAAGAGGAGTAGTTTTAATAAACACACGTACAGAAGAATTATATATATATATATATATATATATATATATATATATATATATATATATATATATATATTAAGATGTAAAGAATTTATATATTTACCGTGATCCTAAAAGTTTGTCTAACAATATGTTTCAGGTACATGCCACCATGCGTACAACTACATAGATGCGCCCCAGACTCGGGGTGTTGCTATGACGAGGCGGAAGTGTGCGCGCCCGTCGATGGAAAATACGTTGCTATACCATTTTTGGTGAGTTAAGTCAAATAATATAACCAAATTGATACTTTATTACTTTTAAGGAAGTAAGAATAATAGTAACTTGTAATTTTTTAAGATCCCTATTTCTATCTATTCAAAATATTTTTTAAATAATCATATATGTCTAAGATTAAACATTCTAAACATTGATTTATTATAAGTCCCATACCCTTGGCCCATGGAGTCAAAGTGGTAAACACTTCGTCTTATCTCCTCTACTGGTGACAGGAGAGCTGGCGCATTTTTCGCCCAAAGAACGGCATTGCCGTACAACGGGGGAATGCGGCTAGCATTCTTGCCACTATTCCACGCGGACATGACTTGTACAGTAATAATAACTAAATGTATATTTGTTTTGTATATATGTATAATTAAGTATATTTGTAATTTTCTTTATTGTCAATAGGGTAATAAAAAAAATTATAAGTAAATGTTGGAACTTTAGAGGTCGAAAGTTCTAATTGTCTAAACACAAATTCAAACACAAGTCTGACGCACACCACATAAAGTACTTTTTAAACAAAACAACGCGCATTTTTGTTATCTAAAAAGCAATGAACAGAAGCGATTTGGAAAAATCACTTAATTTCGAATTATGCACTATTTCCAGGACACTTTCGAGACCCTAAATAGGTATCTTGAATTTTTATATATAAATACAGTAATTAAAAATAAATATATCTCCAAATTTCAGCTAAATAGAGCCGATAAGAACTTGACAGCAGCCAGAATCCTTTTCTTTAATCATACTCGTTGTGCGTGTGTGTCGAGAGATACTTTACAAAGTACTACTAGAACACGGATCGAGAATCACGATGACAGACTAGATGAGAAAAAAGAAGAGAGAATAGAGAGTAGAGAGAGACAGAACGATTGGAGAGCGCCTACTGAGGAACCCAGGTTAGAAAGAGATGAAGAGCAGACGTCACCTCCGCAATTGAGAAGGTACATACATTATCCTTTAGTACCACACTAAAAATAAGTTTGTGAGTCAGTATGTTTGTTATTTCTTCACGTGGTAACGGCTCAACGGATTTGGGTGAAACTCTGGATTAAGAATTAGGCTACTCAATCATGTAACCACCACGTGGGTAGATTTACGGACCAAAACTAACAACTTCATGGCAATATAATATATGAAAAGTAAACATTTCACTTGTAAAAAGTAGTTTCTAGCAGTTAGCACTCTATGTGTTTGTGCTCTCGTGTAAAAACGATAATCCTCGCGTCAAATTTTTAATTTAAAAATATCAATCAGACTCAACAACTGTATATGACCATTTTTAACCCCCTTTTAAGCATTAAAAAGCTTAACATAGATAAATTTACTAACTTAAGTTTTTATCCTCAGATGCACATGCCCTACACTTTTCCGAAACCGCATAAAAGACGGCATATGCTCATGTGTGTGCGATTGGCCAGACCTAACTAGAAAACGTGACTGCTTGTCGCTGGCAAGAGGCAAAGAACACTTCGGCTTGAGAGATAGAGTGTGTTTAGACAGAGGAGATTGTAACACGCCTAGCTGTGAATACGGGGCCTATGACCAAAGTACTGGCCGATGTCCATACAGACGAGTGAAAAGGAGATTTCATTCAAGAAGATATAGCCACAAAGTTTGATAGATTTCAAAGACAAAACTAGCCTTAAATTTTATGCATACTCGGTAATAGGAATGGCGAGTAAATTATACTCATTAGATTTGGGATTTTAATTAAAATAAAACAACAAACAGCCATTTCGTACTAAGATGCAATACTGAAAGCAATCGAGGAGTTTAAAAATCAAGGTATTGATCGCTTAAGAAATAGACTGATAGCTAAGAGTACCGAAGATGATTGAGAAAATCCGTGAAAAATGAACAAAAAAACTACATTTTAAGTCAAATTAAGTATAATTTATCATTTTAAAAGGTAACATGTCGAGATTTTAGCACGAGAACGTATAGTTTCTAAGAAACTTCATGGTGAAAGATCAACACAAATCTTTGCTTATATATAATTTGACAGTGCGTATATGTATATTTATATACTGTTCCGTTGTATAGATTTTAAGAGTCAACTACTATGGTATTATGTCTTCTCCATTCTACGTGACATTGGCGAAGTAATCTGTGCTCAACTGACACGTTCTGATGCCATTGACAAGAGAATTGAATTGATAGAGATATTATAGAACAAATATCTAAATAAATAATTTCTTTTCATATATTTGTTTAATCTTTAAGTGCCTAATAGATTAGGCAAAGTGTATGAGAAGCTGAACTTTTATGTCTTCTACCGTTATAGAATATATTTTCCTATTTCATCATTCATTCATTCTTTTTAAGCGCGAAATTTCTTTATTTCAATTTTTTCATGAAAATACATTTTTTATTTTTTTTTTGATAAAGTGAGCCATAAACAAATAATATTAATTATAGCAATGCTTTAGTTAATATTAAATATTCAATATAAAAGATTAATTTCGTATTGTACCTAATAATACATATAAAAATTTAAAAGATTCTTTTAACTAAACGTTTACATATAATCTATATCTACGTCATTATTTATTTTAACTGAAGACTACATCTAAAATACTAAATTATAATTAATACGTAACTTTTTATATGTCATTTACATTTGCGTGAAACTTCACACCATCTCTTAGACTATAATGAGAGAATATTCTATTTAACATTATATATACATAGTGCCATATTTTAATTATTCAGCCTTCGATAACAATATAAAAATTATCTTTCTAAATATTTTATTTTTTATTTCAAATGCATAATAATGTATTAAAATAGTTAACATTTGTTTACTCCTACTTATATTAAGTATCTATACATAAGTTGTAAATAAATATTTTAGAAAACTAAGATTTTTTCATTCTTTCTCATAAGATCCTCAAGAATATCCTATTTTTAAAATAACAACAGTTTTTATTTTCTAAGTACCTATTCATTTGTATGAGATATCTCTAATATAATTTCAGATCCACACAACTTTTTTCATAACACAAAGGTTGTGTAGACCAAATCGGCATTTGAACATTATTTATTTTCTTTGTACGTACTATTTACGGCCATATTTTTCTGATACGCAAATTATTTTCCATTTACGGGGAAAGAAATAATTTTGAAGTAAGCTGCATGTCTGAGAGAACCTAACTAGTTTATAGATATGAAACGCCAACCTACACTTGGCCTATACTTAAAGCTTACTTTGAGTCACATATGTACATACATAATATATAAGAGTTATAGTTATTAATAATGATTATATAAAAAAAAGAAATAAGACATCGAAATATTAGTTAAATCTATATTGAAAACTAAACAATATTACATGAACTTATAAAACCAAACGTACATAGTCTAAGAGCCGACACCAAAAAATCGTAACTATTTTGCCACAGACTTAAGTAGCCAAAGTACAAAGCAAGGCAGTACCTCGTTTCACCCAAAAATCCGAAATCTCTTTACCGGAGTGAAGATCAACCGCGACCACAAACGCTCCCATACGTAACGGATAGTAGTAGCACGGACAGACGTATCGATCTGTTTTATATACAAGTTCATTATAAGAAAAAAATATTCAAGATATACATTGGGTTTCAGTATTTCAATTATAATAATAAATAAAATTAAATAATAATATTAATCGATCAAAAAAATACTAGATACACAATCAGCGACAAAAAATGTCCTCATCTAATGAGATTCACAATCCCATGCAAGAGTTCTCTTAAAACTGTCACTTGTGTTTTGGCAATTATTCTAGTTGAAATAAATATACGACAATGTAAATTGAACCTTAAATACAAAGTTAAAAGTTGTTTTCACGAAAACAAATTAAAAGCGCGCTCAAATGTTGAAATGAGCGCTCATTCGGTGAGGACATTTTTTGTCGCCGGTTGTGTATCTAGTACTTTTTTGATCGATGATTATAACAAAAATTATATACATACTTTTCATTCGTCTCCCTGTAGCCCTCACCGGTTTGAAATGTATGGGGGTCATGGGGAAGACCAGCTGCATGGGCAACGGTTCCTGGAGGTGACCGTCTTTACGGGACCAACTCGCTCCCTCGAGATATAAACCCCTGAATGTATATACAGAAATTAAATTATTTACAACTGTTCATTAATGTTCTTAAGGAAACAGACCACAACATATGTACTGAAATAAAAAATCCAAAAAAAAAAACGTGAATTCAATGTTATTTTGTTGTACAATATGAGAGAAAGCAAGAAACATGCTGTAATTTATAATACTAGTAAGGATGTTATTATATATAAAATAAAGGGAAGTGTTTGGACCCAATCTATAAATAATAATAATATAAATAATAAATGTTCGTATGTTTGTACTCTATGCGTTCCTTAACCATTAATCCGATTATGATGAAACTCTGGTGAGTCACTCTGTATATGCCTGAGATAGTTCCTAGCTCAAAAAAAAGATGTTGTCTTTGAATGTTGGTCTTTTATGCGTTCCTAAACCATTCAAAAACCTAGGGACGCTTTTAAGTCGCTAGTACTTAATAAAAATATCTCGATGAAGACAGAAAGCTAAAATAACAACCAATTACTCGTTGGGTAAGTTTCACTGACATGGTTGTAGGAAGGCAATGGGTTCGAGTATCGAGCCAGGCCAAAAGAGATGTCCATCGAAGAAATTTCTAAATATATTATCAGTTGTGCTACATTTGGGTAAATAATAAATATAACACCAATTCTCCAATTATTATTATCTGTCACAAATATTGAAATTCATATAAATATTTAAATTAAATATAAAATATTCACTCTGTGAGAATTAAACCTAGTATACAATTAAATTACCTGATATAAACGCCGCCGTCCCGAGGCGGGCGCACGAAGCCACTCTCCTCTAGAGGCATCACTGTGAACTCCCAGCACAGAGTGTCTATGGGCCAGCCTTCACCGCGAGCTGTAGTCTAAGAGAGAAAGAGAAAGAAAGATTACTGTAGATAGATAGATAGATAGATAGAGATAGAAGATAAATATATAGAGAGATAATATTAAAATTACTATGAACAAATATTTTATTTGTTGGTAAGACAAAATTTAGTAAAAAAAATATCACCAAAACGAGAGCCTAAATAAATATTGCTTTTCGATAAAAGATTAATTTTGTTTGTGTACCTATGTGTTAGGTAGTCTAAGATATGAACCAAGGTTACCTTTAACCTATTATATGTATATCATAAAAAAATATTTGGACTTCAAGTTAACTTTAAACTGAGTTACAAGTGCGGATATAAGAGATCTCTTCCAGTCAATCCATGCATGTGGGAAACTGAGAGCTCAATGGTAATGCGCTCGCTTGGGAAACCGAGTGAAGCGGGTTTAAATTCTAGGTCTCACACCTCTGATATTTTTATGTGCGAACCATTTCCAACATACGGTGAAGGAAAACATTGTGAGGAAACCTGCATATCTGAAAGAACCTAGCAAATTTTCAAAAGACATGCTCAGTTTGCCAACCCACATTTATGGCCAGCGTGGTCGAGTATGGCCTGATCCCTCTCGTATTGAAAGGAGGCTCGTACCCAGTAGTGAGACGTAAAAAAGGGTTGAATACAACACTAAGTAACAAGAGTGTGCTAAGTATGTATATAAGTATGTAGTATGTACTCGTACCTGCATGACGGCCGTGAGGAAGCCGGCGGGCGCGGCGAGCGCGGGCAGCCAGCACAGCGCGGGCGGCGCGCGCGGCGCCGCGGCCCACGCCGCCAGCTGCGCGCCGCGCGCCCGCAGCTCGCGGCACCACGCGCCCAGCGGCTTCAGCGACGGCCGCGCTGTGGAAACGTATAAATATTTACAGCTACGTTTTAATGTTTTTGAGCGGAACCCTAATTCTTTTACTAAAATAAAAGTAGCCTATGTTACTCCCTATTACATAAACTATCTTCCAGTGAAAATCCCGTCAAAATCAGTCCGTTTCAGAGATTATCCGGAACAAACAGAAAGATAGACTAACAAAAAATTTGAAAAATATATAAGTACCGTATATAATTTCATATGCATTTAATAAAACGCTGTTAATTTGATATTACAAACAGATATTTCAATTTTATTTATCTGGCTAAATTTTATTGCTAAGTATAAGTAATCATTTTAACTGTCTCGATGGTGTAGTGACTAGCGTGTACGGCTGCACAGCCGGAAGTCCTGGATTCAAATTTTTCTGTATAGTAAGCCTCAGTACCAGCCCAAAGTTGGCGGTGTTTCACTCCCGTGCCTCGGAAAGCACGTAAAGGTCCTGCGCCTTAACTCTCACCGGTAGTGTCTCGCGTCGTCCCATCGGATTGTGAGAGTGACAGGAATAGAGAGTGCACGTTGTGTCTGCGATCACTCTCACACGCGCTGCACTATAATACCTCTTGCACAATTAGCTAGTATCAATGAAATTAGCCGCCGTGGCCGGAATCGGTCAGGAAGATATTGTTGTTATTTTAAGTACACAAACTAGGTGGCGAAATGAACTGGACAAATTCAATCCAAATTGGTCTATTCTTGCAGAAGACCACAAAACTTGGAAACGTAGCACAGCAGTGGGATGATGTAGGCTTACAGTTTAGTTACAGTGCAACTTCACCAGCGCCCGACAAATTAAGGCCATTAAGGCATAAAAAAGTAACATTCACATCCATATAAGCACGCACGGATGTGCACAAACACAATACAACAATATCAACTGAAGTTACCTTTTTGCCAAAACAATGGCACTCTCCCTTCAAAAATGCACGAATACATGATCTCCAACATTTCTGACATCACCACTAAGCCTTCTATCGCACGACGTAGTTCCTAAAACATAACATAAATCTAAAAAAAAAACATTTTATAAGCATACGTTTTTATTCTTTTATCTGTTTTGTTATTGTTTTGTAATTTATTTAATGTGTTAACTTAGTCTACCCATCAATGTATATTGTATAAATAATGAAAATCCGAAATTGGCTTATATAAGGACTTTTTTTATGTACTTCCTATTTCTGTATGTAGCTGTGGATTTTAGTTTGAATAAATAAATAAAAGTAATGCAACAAACCTTGAGCCCAGCAATAATATTAGTGATCAACTCGTTAAAATATCCAATTTCTTGTAACAATGACACACACATCGGCATCACTATTTCGGAGCCCATCATACGCTCGGTGGTCTCCACGTCAATGCGGGAAGGGAGTTTGGAAAGCATTTCTGCGGCTAGCTCGTCAACCTTCATTTTAAACGTATTTTTATTTCAAATATAGTTAAATAATTCAGTCAATACTGTCTATTCAGTCTAAGGGCTTAGATATTTTTGTTGGTATCTAAGTCGTAAAGTTATATAGGGTACGAGCATATTTATTTTCAAAACATAAAAAAAAAATACTGAGTGATGCGTAAAGTGTATTACTTCATGTACATAGATTGGATAGTCACATGAGTATTAAATGTAAAAAAAATGTGAGGTTTTGTGTTTTTTGTGTTTTTTGTGTATGTATGAAAGTGACATTGAGAATAATAATGACCGAGCGAACGAAGCATATCTGCTTCAAGTCTGGCAAAATTCGCTTTTCCCTGTCAGATTGTTAGTATTCCTCTACATATTTTACAATCGATCTGGACGAAACTTTGTATACAGGTTTTACGTTTTACCATAGGAGGGAATTTCCTCCAAAAATGGGCAAAAGCCTTTTGGCCCCCCTTTTGGCTGGATATCTCCGCCTTATGAGATCCAATTTCGATGGTTAGGTTAGTAACATTAAGTTGATCTAATAAAAATTTGGAAAAGACCTGACGAGGATTTCGGCATGATGAACAGAATAGATCCTCAATATGCAGTAAATGCTCGCGAGGTCTACTGTTCGCAGAACTACTAGTATAATTATTTTATAAAACATCAGGCTTGCATTTCGTCATCCTAAAATATACTATTAAATGCACAAATGTTGTATGTTATATACATACATCTAAAGAAACAATTTGAAACATAGCTAACTTACCTTCTGATCTTCTCCGCCGCCGCCGCCGCCGCCGCCGGTGGACACGAGAGCGAACAAAGTCGAACACATTATTCTAGCGTCCTTTAACACACATCCTTTAAATTACTCGTATGTTTTTTAAACTAACTTGTTTCAACTTGAAGTACACACTTATATTTATATGGAATTTATAAATATCATTAAAAATCACATGGCGAATGTTTTAAGAAAGATTCGTATGAAATTATATTAGCACAAAATATTTAATATATAAAAATAAAATTACTATTTATAAAAATATAACTACTAAATAATTTTTAAGTCCAAATCAAATCAAAGGCCAAAATGAAAAAAAAACGCAAAATTTCACAAAAATAAACCTCTTTGATAACTAATTATTAGAGCCTTTTTCTATCTGCCATCACGCTGATAATGTCATATAGCGCCATCTCGTGAATGTTTTTGTACTTGCATTCACCCAGTATTAATATAATAAAATAACTTATTATTATAATATAACCTGTGCAAGAGTGGCCACATCAGCAGACGCGTGTTGTCCGATGGACTCGGCGCGCTCGTACCCCGGCAGCAGGTCTAGGAAATCCCGGTATGACTCCAGGCTGCCATCCCGCGGGATGTGATACGCCGGGATACTTGACAGTCTGTGTTGTTATAGGATATATTGGTATAATCCATATTCCATACTAATACTATAAATGTGAAAGTGAGTGTGTTTGTTTGTTTGTTTGTTTGTTTGTTGTTCTTTCACGTCAAAACAGAGTGACGGATTGCCGATGATTTTTGTATGAAGATAGTTGGAGAGCTGGAGAGTGACATAGGCTACTTTTTATCGTGGAATATTATTTTATTCCCATGGGAAAACTCGTTATAATATAAACCAAAAAAATATTTGTGATCAGAATTACTTGAAACTTGGTATTAATACTCTTCAGTACAAATTAATAAATACATGTTTTAGCATTTTTCGAAATTCATCCTATAAGGGGGTAAAATAGATGCTAAAAGTATGTATGAAACCTACCTTTTTAGAGATATTTTTGTAGTTTTAGCGCGAGCGAAGCTGCGGGTTCTGCTAGTTTATTAATAAAAGAAAAATATTTTATCTCAAACAAAGCAAACGAGAATTTTGTGTCTGACGCCAATCGTCTACCACTTGTATTCAGATCTTTTTTAACGTCCCACTGCTGGGCATCCCTTCAATACGCGTGGGATCAGCCCACAGGCCACCGCGCTGGCTAAATCCGAACGCACTGAGCATATCTTTCGAAAACTTGCTAGAATCTCTCAGATATGCGGGTTCCCTCACAAGGTTTTCCTTCACCGTAAGACAAATGGTACACCGTAAGATATTGGGAATGATTCGCACATGAAAATATCAGAGTTGCGAAATCCAGGATTTGAACCCACTTCACTCGGTTTTCTCTTAGAAAGATAAAATCTATTGTATATTACAAATCATACTGCTTTATTTTCACAATTAATAAAATATTTCGACAACGTGACATGTAATATTTAAATAAATTCTTTCCACGCTTTATTTAATTCGCCAGTAACTATAACAATCGTAGTTTCTTACTACTTTAAGCCAACTTCGACGATAAACTCAAACATTAATTTTTCTATAGGTAACATTTAAAAATAAAAATATGTACCTATAGAATGGAATATCAAGAGCCTCTTCACAAAAGAACTGATTGATGTACGCAATAAGAACTCGCTTGTCCCAATCGTCGGTGATGTGTCCGCCGTAGTTGATTATTGCGAACAAGTACCGTAACGCGTCCCACGGGACTTCTTCGTACTCTTCTAGATAATTTGCTAGTAAATTATCTGACACCTAGCGGATATTATCATATTATTGATTAATTGATTGATGTCAAAAATTACAAATATAAATAGTAATATTAACAATTAGAAAGAAAAAATATGTGTTTATAAAATAAACTTAAACTAAGTAAAAGAAGAGAAACGAATTTCCAAAAAGGAGGGAGTGCTGTATTCCAGTTAGTTTTTTTTTATTTTTTGTATTATTGAGCTATCTTCGCTAATTGTACAATAAATCTATGTTCATGTTGTTTTTTTATTGAATGAAAAAAAAACCTACACATATATTTAAAAAAAACTTGTGTGTGTGTACTTATGTACGAACGTAAGAAGTTATACTTCTTTGGCGTAACAAAACGAAAATCACAGTCACATCTCTCTGTTTGTAAAAGGAATGCAGCTAACTTCATCATGTCTCTTTTTGGCTGTCGGTGTGCGCGCGCATCGTAAATATTTTACTTTCAATTTTTTTCCAAGCGTGCCAATAGAAGTATAACTTCAAAAATATTTTTTTATGTCTTTAATATCTACCTCGAAATCAGAATCATTAAAGCTGTAAACAGCGTTATATCCAAGTTGCCGGAAGCGTTTTCGAGCAATCAATGCGCAGTGAAAGAAGGACACACAGAACAACAGACGTCGATACTTGGGCGTAGCTTCATCAAATTTGTCCTCATTTATATTAGCGAACAGACGAACCATATTACCTTTTAGACCCTATTAGAATATAATTATCATTATTTATCCAAAAACATATTGTTATAACATTTTGTTTAAGTAAATTAAAAATGCTATGCTAATGAGCTTAAAAGCGCTATGCTTTATAATTTTTTTTAAATACGAAAACTTTCTACACGTCGGGAACCAAAAATCAAAACAAATCCGCGAAAAAATCCGAAAAGATAGTTTTATTTAAAATACGAAAACATAATATTCTATTACCAACTTTGTACCTTTGAAGATAATACGATTTAGCTGATCTACTATACCATTATTTTAAGTCTAACTATGATTTTACCACCTATAAAGCAAATCCTTGATCAGTAGCAAACAAAGAATACAATAAAATAAAAAGATATGCAGAAATAGAAAACAAGACTTATTCCCAACTTTACCTGCGGAGGTTCGGTGGTCATCTTTATAGATCTCTGCAGTACATTCAGAGGGAACTTTTCATCTGGCATGGACGAAAGCCATAGTCTGAAGCGCGGGTGTATGCGAGGGTTGTCCAAGCCACGTAAAGCTCCGAGCCAGGCACACGCCAAGTGGCAATTAGCCAGGAACACCCACCCACCTTCTTTCATGCCTTGTGATAGCATCCTGTATATAATATTTCTTTGATTTTGTTTCATATTTATATTTTACTAGCAACTAACCCTCGGTTTGTTCGGCTGAGCCTATAATTTTTTTTAGGTACAGGATTAAATTTCATCCAAATCCATGCAGCCGTTTTAGCATAACATACATACATATAAAATTTTGCATTCATAATAATAGTGGGATTGAATCCTTATAGAACAATAATTTCTTCCTTTATACATTTGCTTACTGCTAATATAATTTAAATTGGACTGTCTCGAGGCTAATTTACACCACTATATCGTGAATATCATAATATGTTAAAGTTTGTTAGGTTTAAACACTGTACTTTTTATTTAATTTGAATTGGTTGAATTAAGTTCTTGATAATAATGTTTAATTGTAATACGTTATCGAGATATACAAGTAAGATTCAAACAAAACCAAAAGAAAAACCCAGCATAATTAACACGTCTTCCAACAAAAACCAAATTATTGTCTATTTTGGCTCAACTAAATCTGGAAAAAAGTCTCTAGTCTAGAAAAAAAGTAATAATATAACCTAGCAGCAGTAGGGGCTTGGCCTTGCCCCAAACTAAGTGATTGGAATTTATCAAACATCTTCACATCAGTGGCGAGCTGAATCAAAGCTGACGTTGGGTCCACCCCAGGTGACAGGACGAAAAGCAGTGACGTTTTCCATGTGGACTCCTCCCAGGCTGCCTTTTAGTGTAAATGGGAAACTAATGTATAAATAGCTGTTGTAAAGCTGTACTAATAATGTTTATTTATAAAGAGGATTAGATAAGAAGTCAGTTCGTTTGGTTCAACATCTTTTGTCTGATAGAACCCAAATTATGTGATTGCATTACTTTATGATATTTTAATAAAAAAATACCTGAATATACATTAGTGACTTTAATGATTAATCTTAAAGGGTTTTTGTTTCGAGAAAACAAAAAGTACCTACGGCGTAGCAAATGAGTTTTTTTTACCAAAATCCCTTTAATATGAAATGAAATGAAATTTTATTCAAATAGACTTATTACAAGCACTTTTGAATCGTCAATTTAAAGAGCGTTAATGTAGTCAGCCCCTAAGGAAGCTACTACCGGCTCGGAAAGCAGCTATGCCGAGAAGTGCCGGCGAGAAACTCAAATATGGCAAATAACTACATATGTACGATTGACATGAAATAAAAAAATTTTCTGCTAAGTATTATATTATGATCTGTGCTGTTAGTAAGTATTGGTGATTAATAAGATAAAACATAAATGACAGGCTAACTAACCCAATAGGTTAAAAGGTAACTAACCTTAATATCAAGCACAGGCGGTTCAACATAACGTGGTCCAAGAACATTCACAATATAAGTGGTCACACACGCTGACACGCGGTCAACTCGCAAAGAGCGCACGAAGAGAATACGTTGAAAATCGTTACAAATGTCGTTCCAATCGCCTAAGAAGTGGAATAAACAAAACATAAAAGTTCTTGTACTTTAAAAAAATACATTTTTTTAATTAAAAATTGCCTGGACCAAATTTTTGGTGGCATTTTTAGTTCTGAAAAAGAGGTCTGCCGTATAGATCGAGATCTTAGACTATAAATCCAAAGATTATTTTTATATTCGTGATCGCCTCGAAAATCGAACATAATGAAACTTTGAACGTTACATGTCCTGATGAAGCCTTTATAAAAAAATATGACTATAGAATGCAAAAAGATTTTTTCAAATCGGACCCGTAGCAGACCGGAATCCGGAAACTAAGATGGGTAAACAAATAAACTAATTTGACAACTAAATTAAATGGAATTTAATCGAAAGTGTATTGTATTGTTTTTTTTGAGAAATAAATTCTTAAATTGTTAGGTTAAATTAGTTACCAATTAGAGGCTGAGTTTCAGGTTCAGGATGGAGATACCATTCTCTCCATTCTTTAGAGTATACCTCAAAACTATCAATCACCCCATGGAAGCCGGGCAGTTTATCCAATTCCGTTATGTTGTCCCAACAATCGTCCGGCAACCAATCTATCGTCAATAAATTATAATAGCCGTATTGATTTAAAAATTATTATTTTTCGCTTAATTTATATATATATATATACATATATATATATATATAAGTTAAAAATATTAATAAAAAAAATGTTGTAGATCATAAAATCGCAATTATTTGCTTTATCGCAATAATGAAATATTTTACTTTATTGCATTAACTGACTGAATTCGGTTTTATTCTAACATGCAATACTTCTATTAAATATAAGTAATTAATGATAATTAAAAATTAAATTATCGCAGAAGCATCGGATTATTTTATTTATTTCCTTAAAAAAAATGCTAAATAGTCTAAATTTAAATTAAAAAATGCTAACCAATAAAGTTAAAGTGCACCTATATTTCATTTTCAGCATTTACTACAATACAATAAGGAATAAAACTATACCACTTCGCTGACATAGATACGAGTAAATACATATATATGAGTAAATATATATAGACACACTAACTCGTTGGGTTGTCTGGCTGCTCAGATCTGTCCAACACAATTCCACCCTTTAGGAGGAACAAGTATTCGTGGCTACTCATCTTTCCCATCTGAAATAGTATCCGAGATACTATGTGGAAGGAGAGCAGAAGCTTGTGCCGCTCAAATAAAGCACGACATGTGTTTCTGTTTGAACGTATTAAGATTAGAGATATTTGAATGTCCAAAAAGAGAGAAATGGAGATGAGAGTGATAACTAACAATATTCTATCTCGTAACCTCAAAAGATTCTTGTAAAAAAACTTCAAAATTCATTATGACCATATCGTATAATTTTATAACACTTTCTCAACGATACATGAGGAAACTATATGCCTTTATCTTCATAAGAATACAACGATACGACATTTTTTTTCGATACCTTTGTTTAGTTATTATAAAATTCAAAACGCAGAAATTTTACTCACAACAGTACCATATCATAAAAAAAAAATTAAATAAAACTTTTTCCAAAATCCACGCACCAATTTGAAAACTCTTAAATATTAACCATTACTTACTTGTAAACAGCAAAAGTATGAAACTCATTGAGATTGTTAATTCGATCCTCAAGTTCCCCGCTTTTGGGGCTTCTGTCAATGGAGTAAGTGAATAGATCGATGTAGGCGTCGAGTGAGAACTGGTACATGGGATCGATTTTAGACAAATCGTTTAACGCAAAGAACAGCACTGAAGCACGTACTGCTACCGGTACGTAGCCCTAATAAAAGCATAATTTATAATTAAAATATTTGTCACACTAATGTACTCGTATATAACTTTATTTGTAAAAGTAGAAATTTGTGAGACTTGCTGAGGCAGTGGTTGCAGAGTGAAGCGGGTTCAAATCCCGGATCTCGCACCTCTGATATTTTCATGTGCGAATCATTTCCAACATGAACAACACTTGGCTTACGGTGAAGAAAAAAATATCGTGAGGAAATCTGCATATTTGAGAGAACCCAGCAAATTTACAAAAGACATTGTCAGTTCGCCCGAACTTGTCACCTTGGTAGATTATGACCTGTTCCCCCTCGTATGGAAGGAAGATATGTGCCCAGCAGTGGGACGTTAAAAAGGGCTGAATATGATCGAATTGCTAAGAACGACTTGAGCGACGAATTGTTGGTCTTAGTGAAATTAGTCTCCGTAGCCGTATAAATAAATAAGTAATATATAAATATATTATATAAATAAGTAGTATAAACCTAATCGTAACGTATCAAATGATTGTTAAAAAATATTATTTAATAAGCTATTATGCAATGCTCTTATTAAACGATATAAAAAGTCATTTTCAATAAAAATCAGTCTCTCCCGTGACCACCGTGAGCATGATTGCTGTAAAAAATTCGAAACTTCGGGAACCAAAAATCAAAATAAATTTGCGAAAAAATCCGAAAAGATAGTTTTATTTAAGATATAAAAAAAACTTTTAGTACGCATCTTTCTAATTTTACAAAATGAGCCCAAACGCAAGTTTTAAATGATAGCTATTCACTAACCATCCTGGCATCATTATCATAGACATGATCATCATCAGATCAGCTTAATGGTAACAAATCTATAATAAATAAATCTATAAAAAATAAATAAAAAATAAATACTAAATTATATTATCATCTTCATTTTGTTCACAATTTTCGTATCATTACAACAATTTGTTAAAAGTAATTTAAGCCCAACTGGCATTCCTAGAAGCCACTAAACAAAAGAATTGAATTGAAAAGTAGTTTAAAGTCGAATGTTGGGACATTCAATTAAATATTTACAAGTGAAGCTATTGAAAGCATGTGATACCTGTCTAGCTGTATCAATCTCTTTCTCAGTATCCTGAGATGTGATCAACGCTTCTTTAACCTCGAGTGACGTTCTTTGTGACGTTTGCAATGTTACGAAAAGTTCTTCATTTTCCAACAATGGTACTTGAGATTCGTACATTATACGTAGTAAGTCGTTTTCCAAATCCACCTGCCAATTAAATCTCATTATGCCTTTGATTACTGGACTTAAGTATTTCATTCGCTGTAAACTTATTTTGAATTAGTTATTTTCTTATATCTTATATGTAATAAAAATGAAATGCGGTTTGTCACTTTAAGAATGACTGGACCGCTATTTTTATTTTTATTGTTTTATGATAATTCGAATAAGGTCATTCGGGAAAAACAGTGTTTTTATCTATTTTTGTATGATTTAAAAAATTATAAATCAGTCGAATCAGTTAATAATAATAATATTTAGTTTAAAGGTGAGCAATCTACTAAATTAATTATTTATGTTGTTAGATCAATTTTGGTTACTTAAAGAATCATTATAACCAAGCCAATTCGTGTTTCGCTTCAATATTAATATATATAATTATTCAAAAAAATTTCAATATAATATAATTTTTCAAAAAATAGACTATAAAATGCAAAAAGAATTTTTCTAACCGAACTGTTTCAAAGGTGATAAAAACTGTACTTGACACAAGACAAAAATCAGACACTTAATATATCCATACTAATATTATGTCTTTCTTTCACGTCATAACGGCACGGCGGATTGGCGTGATTTGTGTGGAGATAGTTGGAGGGCTGGAGAGTGACATAGGCTACTTTTTACCGCGGGATATTATCTCTGTCCCACGGGAAAATATGTTATAATACAATCCAATAAAATATTTAAGACCAGAATTACTTAAAACTTAATTATAAATGCTCTTCAAGACAATTAATTAAATACGTGTTTTAGCATATTTCGAAATTCATCATATATGGGGGTAAAATAGCGGACAAAGTTTGTATGAAACCTACCATTTTAGAGTGTTTTTTGTAGTTTTAGCGCGAGCGAAGCCGCAGGGTTCTACTACTAAAATATATATAAAGTCCACCAACAACTAACCAATACTTTCTTGCTGTTAGCAATAGTGATAACGAGGTGATCTTTCATAGTCTCTAGTTGAGGTCTTTCCTTACGCACCACTATACTAAGTAACTGCGCGGTTAGACCCTGTTCTTTGACCGCAAAGTTAACCATGGTCGTTTTTGTTAGAGTTTCTGGCGTGTATACTGGGTTACCTATTAACATGTAATGTATAGTTATTGACTTATTAAGAACTTTTACATCATATTGTTGATAAATATGTAGTTTTCTATAAGTGAGTGCTTTTGTGAGGATATATTTAAAGATCAGTCATGTAAATCGAATACATATCCTAGGTTAAAAGTTACTACTTTATATACGGTACATAAATAAGTAAAACAATTTTTACTTATCTTTGACAATTATCCAATAAAAGTCCACTAAAACTTAGTGATTAAATTGGTATATGCAAATAAATAAAATAAAATATGGCTTATGCAAAGCAAACCAGATTGCGTTATTAAAAAAAACGTGTCTTATAAAAAATCTGAAATAAAGCCTAAATCTGAACTAAATTACCAAGTTTCGTCGTCAAGTACATCTTGAATGCCGGATTATAGGGCACCATCTTCTCATTGAATTTGATGACCAAATTGGCTCCAATTTTCACTATCGCCTTATCCAATATTGGGGCTATTGATGGGTCTAAAACCTCGCCGACATTCTGAATTATGATTGGTTTCCCATGGGACAGGCAGGTCTCCATAATTTTCAAATAGTTGGGTTGACCAAAGTCAACGATCTATCAGAGGAGTGCCAATGTTATTTGATTAGCTTTCGTTCATTCACTCACCCATTTAAAACGTAGCTAGCTTGACTATTTAGTTTATATGAAAATCCTACATGTTTGTTGCTAGATACTTAAATACGAGTTATTCTGGCTAGAAGTATTTATTAGAATACGAATTTACATGGGACCACTAATGAGGGATCACATATTTAAAAAAAATTAAGAATAAAGTATAAGTACTTAAGTATAACCTGTATATCATTCTTTTCCTCTAATCTAGATATCCATATTAGAGCCTGCCCCTGAGGATCGACGGCCAGCGGCCAACGAGTCGCGCGGACGACTATAATACCATTTTCAGCGCTAAAGTTGTCATCTAAAATATATTAATTGATAAGAAATACATTAATTTTCAAAGTGGCTACGCAAAATGAACTAGTACATATTGAAAAAACCATTTGTCATTGTCACATTTCCGCTATGGCTTCATTTTCTTCCAAATATCTCCAAAACCTTTTTTATATGTAAATATGTATAAAAAAACAAATTTTAGTTAATTATGTAAAATATGAGATTATTAGTAAACTAGCATTGTAGTTTTTATTTTATCTCATTGTTTTTGTATATATTTTGTTGTCTGTTTGTACGTCCTGATTTTACAACGAATCGCTCTGTTTCTATATATTGTAATCAGATCTAGTGTTTTTTTTCTTTTACTGGTCATTCTATATATAACGTGTCTTCTCCATTATACGCCACATTGGCGAAGTAAATTGTGCCCAAATGACACTCCTAGAAGCCACGAAACTAAAGAATTGAATGGAATCTCTAAAATCACACCCTTGGCCAATGTTTATATATATATATATATATATATATATATATAAATCTCAGTTTTATCGCGCATCAAGTTTTAAAAAAATAAACATATCGGAGACTAGAAATGCCACAATTTTATCTCCACTTATTAATAATTTTATTCTTCAACAAGAAACGTTCATAAACTCCAAATTAAGTTAATGAAGGAATTTTAAAAAACACCAAATTAGACTAATACTTTTCATATAAAATCTCACCTGGCAGTCCCATATAATTCCAATCTCTTAAAGTAGCATCATCTAATAAGAACGTTTTCATACTCAGCTCCATCGTTACTGGCAATGTTTCGTTATAAACCTTGAACATAATTTTTTTACGTGTACAAATGCCAACTATTTTAATAATAAATTATAAAATAACACCAATATTTCCATACAAAATCACAAGCCCATCAAGTCCTTGGCTACTTAAGCAAATATTTTGGGCGAATCTGTTAGAATGAGCATTATTTTTGTAATATATTTAAAAATAAAAACACAAACAAAATATGTAATTTTCTGTGGCCCCATTTTAATTGTTCTTAAGTAGTTAAATTTGAAATTATCCTTATATTTTTCGCAGCTTTTACGCAATTTATACTTGCGCTGACATGGAAAATGTAACACGTACAAATTACTTATTATTGACTTGACATCAAGAATTGTATTTATAATCTTAAAATAATTCTCAAAATAAGAACTATTATTAAATCCCTTCGTCAAAATTAAGTTTTTATTCTATTTGCTGTAGAAACCCTTTGCCCATGGAGTCAAAGTGCTAAGCTCTTCTTAAAAGACATAACGACTCGTCTTATCGCCTATACTGGTGACAGGAGAGCTGGCGCATTTTTCGCCCAAACTACAACGGGGGAATGCGGCTAGCATTTTTGCCACTATTCCACGCGGACATGACTTGTACAGTAATAACTGAGTTTACATTTGTTTTGTATATATAATTAAGCATATTTGTAAACTTCTTTATTGAAAATAAGGAATAAAAACAACTTTGGTACAAAATAATATTGGTAATATGGTACCTCTCTTAACCAATCGTCCATGAGCGCTTCGCGATATTCCGATACAAAAGGGCCGAGATACGCAACAAAACCGGTAGCAATGAGACAGTCACCGGGCAAATTCTCAAACTCTCTATCTAAGCGTTCCACCGTCATTTCCCATCTTTCCCGTTCACCTGAAGAAATTTACGACAATTTGTTGTAAGCTTTATCTATACTTAATTGTTTTCACTTAATTTATAAGTTTCTATTTCTCATATAATAACGTGATTTCATTTTATTCTCTGCCATTTTCTGATGATCTATAGATTACTGCTTAAGCTTAAGATTAGGAACAAGATTTTAAACGTTTAAGTATATATAGCCAAAATAAAAATAATAAATTGTACATGTAAGTAATTATTATTATTTCGATATAGTAATTGTAATATCCCATAATTTGAAATCAAAGAAACTAATGCTAACTAATTTATTGTAAAGACAGAGTGGCAAATATTTACATGCTCTTCCTAATTTGCCGAAAATTACAAAGTCAATTCTTGTACAGAGCAAAAAAAACTATACCTATATAAATATCACACACCAATTTGTCCCGGGATTCTAGTTTAAAGGAAACATCATACAATACTCTCAACACACAGTATCTGAGCATAGACTAAAAACAAAGAACCTCAGTGACATCACTAAGTAAAATAAGTAAATTCAGAATTGATATTTAATAATTACCGGAAAGGCCAGTAATAAGAGCCTCAGCTCTTTCTAGTTTCAGTTGTAGCATATGCGACTTCCTCTCTAACTCCTCCTTCTGTGCCAATTTTTCATCATATTCCTTTTGCAACCGAGCTATCATTTCACTCAACTCCCTCAACTTGGCACGAGCTTCTGCTAATATCTGCTGTTTCATACGCAAAGACTCTAGTGCTTCTTCGAGACGCTCCTTTTTAGGTTTCACAATTCTATAGGTAAATTATTTTTATAAAGTTCTATTCGAAAATGATTATTTCCATACAATAACGTTAAGATGCAATGAATTAAGAGAATAAAGAAAGAAAGAGAAAGCAACACCAAAAAAGATAATTTCTCAAATCCTAGACATTTTTTAAGTACTGCCATAATTTTTTTTTCAAGTAAAGAAGGGATATAAAACTCATAATACCTATGGTATATCCAAACGTATATATACTAAGTAGCATTGCCCGCGGCTCCACCCGCGTTCAGATGACCAAAAACCAAATTCTTAGGTTTTACATATTAGTATACTCTTATATTGCAGTTTTTGTATGTTTTCTCAAAAATGAGATATTTTCCCGAGGTAAAAAGTATCCTATATGTTGATCTCGATATCCAGCTATCACTATACCAAATTTCATCAAAATCCCTCCAGTAGTTTTTCTGTGATGTGGTAACAGGCAGACAGACAGACAGACAAAAATTCTAAAAACTATAGATTTGTTTATTTCAATAAGATTTTCCAAAAATTATCTAATGTACAGATTCGGCTTAGTTACAATTTTATTATATGTATAGATATATAGTGTGTCTATTCACAAAATGACTTGTGTCCCTGACGAAGAAGACTTAAAAACAATAAGAATCTTACTTATAAACCTTCCCATATTTCTCTATAGCTCTGACCCACAGACACAAAGACTTGGCCGCCAAAGACACAGTACCAACTATCTCTGGGTCAAAGTCTGGCTTGGCGGTGTATGTACCAATCTTCTTTAACGTTTTATCCGCTATGTTATCTTTGTCGAAGTCACGCAATCTATCCAGAAAGTACTGATCACCGAGTTGGCGTTTCGCTTCGGCCCAAGTCGGCTCTTTCTAAATTGGAAATTATGAAGACAATCCATGTATTATTTACTACACAAAAATATTTTCTACGAATATGCTTCATTGTAAGTTATTGTTTCTACAAAGCGCAAAAAGTTATTTTATATTTTAATTTTTTTTTTATATAAGTTGGTTAATTTATATATATATTTTTTATATAAGTTGGTAAAAATATTAAATTTAAATCTGTAAATAGCTAAAAGAAATCTAATAAAGATGTACAAAATCCATTAAAATGACTTACTTGTAACAAAATAAGAACAGCTTCGAGGACCATCTCTACCTTCTGCGGTGGTTTAGCGTAGGACTTGACTTCAGTTATATCTTTTTTATTTAGTGCATCCAAGGCCTGAAAATAATTCCAATATTATGACAATACTCTTTAAATCGATCATAAAGTGTTTTCCGTAGAATATCTATATGTAACAAAAAATACTTTAAGTCGAGTCACCCAGTTCAGTTCTCATTTCTCTATCAAAGTGCATGCTTCCTGCTGTAAGCAGCGACACTGCTCTCTCTCACTGTCTCACTCTCACCTTGACGGCCTCTTCAAGCGCGGGCATGGCGCCGGCCAGGTCGCGCATAGCGGCGTCGGCCAGCTTCTTGCACTGCGCCTCCTCCTCCTGCGTCTTCTTGCTGCGCGCGGCGACACTGCGCTGCTGCTCGTCCGCGTTGCGTTGCTGCACGTTGATCACGCCCATGTACTCTATACACTGTTCTGTGTATTCTGCTACTTGGACCTGGTCGTATTCATTATAAATAAATAAATATGTTCGGATATTAACACACAGTACCATCTAGTTCTGTAGTAAGATACGAGGCTTGTGTTATGGATACCAGGTAGTTGATACACTATACATATATAACTTCAAATACATACATATAATAAATATGAAACAAATATAAAAAAACTTAAAAAATAAAAATAAATTTAAACTTAAACATTAACCACAAACTTTGTCAAAACTATAATCTCTTTATGTTTATTTTTTTATAAATATAAATATCCATGGCTGGAGTACAAACATTCATGCTCATCACACACAAATGAATGCCGCCAACGGGACTCGAACCCGCGACTGCTGGCACAGCAAGTAGGGTCATTACAAACTGAGCTAAACGCGTTGTCAATTATATTGATGGTTAGCTATTTATTGTTATTGTAAGTCTGGCAAGACCTTATAATATTGCATAGCATTATTGTAAAAAATAATTTTTAATTATGTTGCGCATACTGAACAGCAAAATCTCGCACTGTACAGGCGAAAAGCCTGTAACAAGTTAGAATTTGTTTTGACATGATGGTTGACGTCCTTTGCAACATATTATACAATATTGCAGTGCGACACATGCTACAACACTTTTTCTCGGAGAAAAATTCAAAAGGTGCTCTTATATGTATATATATATTATATACCTACAATATTCTAATTGAAGCTAAATTATTTAATCAAACTTATTTTTAAAGAAGAAAACATTCTTTACTTGAGCAATAGCAAGTTCTTCCGACATTTGACCAACTAACTTTGTAGTCTCTTCCACTTTCCCCAAACCATTTCTTAGTTTGTTCGCTTGCAGAGCTATTTCTATCCTTTTAGCTTTAAGCATCCTACATGAAAACAAAACATTTCACCATTGATCACGACGTACGTAATAGTGCATTGCATCCCATATGCAGACCTACTGGGATAGGATATCACGATAAAAAAATGCGCTACTTAGTCTATCTACCTCAAAGCGATGTGGAAATGAGTTTTTTAGCCAAAACGCATTTTGAAGTATATTTTGCGGCGCTCATAAGCCAAAACTTTTGATTTTAGAAAAAAAAATGTTATTCCATAAATTGTAGGAAATTTTCTCTAATTTAATTTTGTATATAAATGTTTTACCGAAAAATTCGTCGGAATGGAGATATTGTCAAAAAACTGCCATACGGCGCCATTTTTCCAATATGGCGGTGCGAGCGGCAAAGATAAATTCTACAAACCATCAATTTTCAACTTTTCATGTAAAACTAATGACTGGGCTATAATACAAATACAAATAGCTTTTATAATTTAAATAAAAATTGGGAAAATTTCTGGGATATATAACTAGATATTTACAAGACCACTAGAATTATTGCTTATAATTCAAAAAATTATTTCACAGTAATCAAACCTGATATTTTGAAAGGATCATTTAATTATATGAAAAAAAAATGAAATCAAACAAGCAAACTAACTCCTTATATCCAGAAACAAGTTCAAGATAATTGGTGGGAGTCACATAATTGGTCCTCCTCATCTCAAGCCACATCTTCACAGAATACTGTCCTACTGAGGAGTGTATCAACGACATGATAGATGCTACTGACGCTCGCATTACATCTTCCCTGCTTTCTACTAGAGATTCTTTTCTTCGAACCTTGGAGGAAGATCAAATAGATTTTGGTTGTTTCAGAAATTTATGATGCTCAACTAGAGAATTTTAAAAGTATATTTAATAATATCTATTTGGCGAAAATTTAAAGTTTTGGCTAAATTTTTAATTCTTTTTATAATTGGTAAAGTAAAGCTAAAACTCAAAATAGTCACTAGACTAGTCAATTATATAACGTAGATAATTGAAATAATAAAAAAAATACAATTATTTGAATTGAGTCATAATTTTTCTTAATAGTTTTCATATTGTAAGGAAAAGGTAGAGTATTTTTAATCATAATTAGAGGTATAGATTTAAAAAAAAACAATACGCCATATTCGAATACAAAACATAAATATTACCCAATGAGGTATCTATTGATAAGTAATTGCCATATAATGTAAATAAATTTATATTAATTCTGCTAATTTTAAATTATACGTACTCTAGGTCCAGTAATAGACGCAAGTAGCTCGACACCCTCGAGGAACTTATAAGCCACTTCCAGTAACGCCTCCCTCGGCCACTCTAAGAACCAATTCGTGGTAGTGGCATTGATGAGGGCAGGATATTGACGGATACGATTTCTACAAACGTGAAATATAAGAATAATAATGATATAATAATATGTTAGCACATTAACACAGCACCATCTAGTTCCATGGTAAGCTACGAGGCTCGAGTTATGGATACCAGATAGTTGATACACTACACATATAAAACTTTAAATACATACATATTATAAACACCCACGACTGGAAAACAAACATTCGTACTCATCACACAAATGAATACCCCCAGCGGGACTCGAACCCGCGACCACTGGCACAGCAAGTAGGATCACTAAAAACTGAGCCAAACGTGTCGTCAAACTTTATCTTTATATCAATGCATATATAAACAATAATTATTATGTAATACCTAAATTCATCTCCAATAGGACTAAAACATAGCACAATATGCATATTAGCTCGAACACGGTCCACTAGAAACAGGTACACTGATTCCGCTGTTTGCAATATATTTGCAGTTTTCATTGGTTTTTCTAGAGCTTGTTTAATCTGTTTATTAAAAAGATTTATTTATGTCGTTTAATTCACGCATACAAAAGAAAAGATTGCTTTTAGATAAAACAAAACACTATGAACAATAATAACTAACTACATAACTACAAACCTTAGCAAAACATTAGAAATGGCCAAAATACATGAGTGTACGCTATTTCGATTGCTACAACGAATACATAATATAGAAGTAAAGAAGAGGTACATAATTAACTAATTAATTAATAGAATAATAATAAAAAAAATAATAGGCTCTAAAGCCTATATTATCTTCGATGATCCATTACGAACGTTAAAAAATGTTCAAATGTTATTTTTTTAATTTTTATATATTTTTATTATTTGTTGTTATACCGGCAATAGAAATACATACTATGAGAAAATTTCAACTCTCTACTTTTACAGTTCATGAGATACAGTCCTCTGACAGACGGACGCACGGATAGCAGAGGCTTAGTAATAGGGTTCCGTTGGCAACCTTCGGGTACGGAACCCTAAAAAAGGAGAACATAATAAAGCAGTTATGTTGTTACATACATCTTCGAACTCGTCAGCTTTATACAGATTAGTGATTTCACCACTACTTAACAAATTGTTGACGATCTCAGTGAATGTCTCTTCCACTATTTGAGTGTCGCAGAATATGAACGTGGTTTTCTTTGTATCTACACCGCAACTTGTGTATAGAACCTTTATTGGCACAAATTAATTTTGGTCAAATATAAATAAATTTTAAAAGGTAAAATGTAATAATTTAATTGTAATACTTTCTTAGATTTACGCGATTATTTGACATTTTAAATAAAACTATCTTTTCGGATCATGCCATCATCGTCATCATGGATCATGGTCACGGGAGTGAGAAATTTGAGTCTCTTTCTGTAAAGCATTCTAAGCGCCGAGAACCAAATATCTAAATAAATCCGCGAAATAATCCGAAAAGATAGATTTAATTAAAATTTTATTGTACTTCTTGGGATCGAAAAATTCGTAGAGCTCAATCTGTTCCTTAGTTTAGTTTTGAGAAAAATACTCAACTTCAAAGGGAAAATAAAAAAACAATATTTTTTGGCTACATTACACACATTTCCCAGCAAATTTTTGGAGAGATATTAAAATATTTTTATATAAACCTTTAAATCTTCTCTGAAATCCTTGATTCCATACGTCTTTGTTACCACAACTTGAAAAGAATTACATTCACAAATATACGAAGCTATACGAGTTAAACTTTGTCGACCGGAACCTCCTAAAATGGCATTACACGCAGTAGGTATTTAGTGTTTCGAAATGACTAAAAAGGCGTCAACAAATTAAATATTTCGGACATTTTCTTTAAATAAAAAGATAAAATATACTATACAATACAAAACATCACAAAAGGAGTTTCAATTTTCAGACGAGGCATATTAATATTGTCCATAAACCTTTCTCCCGGTCAAAAACAAGCCTTTCATTTATTACCACCCAAAAAAGTTATTTTATAGTTAAATGTGGTTACTTTATTGTCTTAACATAATGCAATAATAGAGCTGATTATGACAAACCTATTTTTACTCTAACAAACATGAATTGAATGAAATTCTATAAACAATCGCAATTGCTATGAGGACTCTGAAATCTGTTCAATTTTTAAAGCGGTTTTGATCATTGAAACTAAACCGAGAAGTTTTTCATTAAGGATTTCGGTTATATTATTTAACCGGCTAAAACCAGGAAAACGGTTTTTGACGAACTTAGGTTTCACGATCGAAATTAACCGATTAAAATGAGTTTTTGTGCGTTTGCATTTGCTAATGGTGAATTGAACGAATCTTTGCTAATGGTAAATTGCTTAGTAGACGGATACGTATACGCTTCTTACTTTGGAATGACTTAACTAGTTTATCAAAACCTAAATCTAACTTTTCTCTAAGAATAACCGTTAACCATTATTATTTCGGCTTACTAAGCCGTTGGTTTTAATTAACCGGTTAATAAACGAGCAACGAATTAATCATTACATTACCGAAATTAACCGTTTTTTTTCAACCGGTTTCGAGCCCTGATAGCAATAAAATTCAAAATAATTTAAGTCTGAACAAAGTAAACCCTAGAATATTTTATACAAACCTATCCCAACACACAGCATATGACCTCGAGGCTGCGATATAACTCGCACGATACGACAGATATGTTCTATAGCATCTTTGAACAACACTAAATCCATTTTCACAACACCTGGACAACTATTGTATTCTTCCATTTGGTTCGCAATGTATCTATAGATGTAAAATATATTAGCCTATTCAATATTAATAATTTCGCCATTTTAACGTACCAGTACTGAAATTCTCCCTATTACCGTTCCTCAAACCCATACAATTTATACAGCCTTAGACCATAATCACTTCTCTGAACAGATGTTCATTGGAGGATGGACTTGACACGTCTTTGGAAAATTACTTTGGATATCTACATATGTATATTATATATAATAAGTTTCTTTCCACCGTACGGCAAGTGGTAAATATGTCGAAAATTCATTAAAACCAATACAGTTAATTTTTGAATAGATTAACACAACAACCAGACAGAAGCATGTACGATATTAAACATTAAAATTTTATTCAATTTCAATTAACAAAGAAATTCTCTAATAGTACATATAGATGTAACTAACATTTTTAATCAATGACGGTTTAATAATAAATTACTCTTTACCTTTTAAACTACTCGTATATCGATATTTAAAATATTTATTTACTCATTAAAACAATTTAGTACAATAATACTTTCTTAGATTTATGCGAATATTTGACACTTAAAAATAAAATAATCTTTCTTTTTGGGATTTTTTGGGGATTTATCAATTTAGTTTTATTTAAAATTTAGTGCAAACTAATTGTTACCTTCTCAATGCCTTAGGATCATTTAAATCATCATAAACTTCAAAAGGATTTAGGAAATGCCCAAAAACTGGCGGACTCTTAGAAGGACAGAGCGCGTGGAATGTCAACTCAAAGTGCTTGCCGAGCATGTCGCCCATTTGATTCATAAACCAGTCGCGATCCCTAAATTGTATACGTTTTATTTATTTATTGTATATTTTTAATGAAATATCTTATTGGAACAGCCTACATCAAAATACGCGGGTTCGACTCCATTAATAGTGGACCTTACAGACGTTGTCCTTTATCCTGGTCCAATTTAAATAAATAAATTCAAAATTGCTCAGGAAACAAAAAACATTTTCAGTTTCAATCAAATTTCCAATTTTCCGGTCAATTTGTCCAATTTTATTTTTCCAAAAATCTACGGACTATAGCGAAAGTCTTAAAAAACCGACAAATGAGTCCAGCCTTTATCAACGAATACCGTTTCACTTTTACTAAAAAAGTATGAATGTCCCTTAAGAAAATAATAACTTCAGCATTTATATTTCACTTATCTCTATAGAAAAAAATAAACTCTTTCCTAAAATTAAAACACGAACAAAGTAAATAACTAACTTTTCTTCGGTAAGCCGATCACAGAATACTCTGAAACATTCATGTACCCATAACCTAAGAAATCGTGGTTTAGTATTTTGGTAGTCCTTATTACTCCTTAAAAGGCCCTGAAAATTTTCTGTAATATCAATATTTTAACCACCTCAATTGATACTCGCTAGCGAATGGCTAAAATTTGCTTGGGTACTCAAAATTATTTACTATAGCATTTATATAGTGCAACTAGCGACTCACCCTTGCTCCACTCGGGTTCGTCCCTACTTAGGATTTAACGTTTAGTATCGATTTCTCAGAGATGAGATATTTTCCCGCAGTGAAAAGTATCATATATGTTACCCGGATGACCAGCTATCATCATACCAAATTTCATCAAAATCCCTCGAGTGGTTTTTCCGTGGTGCGGTAACAGACAGGCAGGCAAAAATTCTAAAAACTATAGATTCGGCCTAAAACTATAGACAATTTTATTATATGTATAGATAAACTAAATTTATGTAGTAATAGCATACTCATCTAAACTGTTTATAGCATGAGCACGTTCCTTATATATTTATGCCTTCTGTTATTGAATTTTCTTAGTTTTAGGGAAATCAATGGCAAAGAATAGCAAAAAAAGAAGAAGAAGGCAAAAACCAAGTAAACTTTAGGAAGTCAATTTACAAATTATTTCTCATTTAAAGTCAGTTACCTGAAAGATTTTTGATATATCCCTCAGGTTGAAAAGATAGTGCATCTTACTGGGTGTTGGTAGCAGCTTAGCCACTATGTTATGAAACATGTCAATGGTGGCAGTAAGTACAATTTTACCTGTAAGTAAATTGTTTAGATAAGGAGTTTCCGTTGATATACCAAAAATACTTTTTCTAAAAATGACCCCTAAACAGACCGACTGTAAAAAAAATCATATATCTAATATATGTAAATATTTTCTAATATATTTACATATTTTGTTTGATAAATGTTTAATATAATATTACATTAATATATTAGGTATACTATATTTATAGCTATCATGCTCAGTAGGAAAATACACTTAAAACTCAATCACTGAAAAACAGTTTTGAACGCCGACATTGCTATATTGCAACCCTTAAGTGTTCAACATCCCTTATTGCGCTGGTACACTGTCCTACACTGAGATTATTTGTATTATTATTGTTTGTTTTATGTACATAAGTGAAATATATAAAATAAATCTTATAAATTCTAAATAACTCAGCCTTACCAACAGTTTTGGTTTCCTCATCAAACTCTTGCAAGTGCTGCGAGAGCATGGTGCCATATATTTTGATCAGCTGTTGTTGGGTGGGAGGGGGCAGGTAGAAAGCATGGAAGCATGAGAGCAAGCGCGGGGGGAGGGGGGAGCGAGCGCCCCCGGGCGGGCCGGCGGCGCCGCACAGTACCATGTCCTAGAGATTATAATTAATTGGTCTACTACCTATATAAATAAATCAAATTGAAATGTCTGTTCGGTATGTCAAAATAACAGCTTTTTACTAAATGCATATGAAAATCTCTATAATCTACTATAAATATAATAAATGTGAAAGTTTATGAGTGTGTATGGATGTTTATTACTCTTTCACGCCAGAACGGCTGAACAGATCTGGATAAAATTTGGCACAGAGATAGATTATAGTCTAGAATAACACATAGACTTTTTATTCCGAACAAATATACGGTTCCCGAGGGATAGATTTGTTTTTGATTTTCTGAATCCGAGAAAAGCGAGGGTGAGCCGCTACTATAAAATAAAAAAATAAAAAAAATCTCTATCTGTTTGTTCCAGCTAATCTTCGAAACGACTGGACCAATTTTGACGGGGCTTTCACTGGCAGATAGGTGATATTATTAGGTAACGAAACAAAATTACTTAGGATATTTTTGTTCAAGAAAAATAATTATAGATTATAATACAACCCACGAAATTGTGAACAAAATCTGTGTATCACGCACACGAATACACATACATAATAATGTATGATTTTAACAAGCACATTTTTTCTTTAGCAAATCACTTTCTTTATCTCTATTTTTTGTCTAAAGAAATAACAAAAACTGCATTTATCTTCTAATTAATATATTAATTTTTCTTCATCACCTTTACATTCTTCCTCCATTGCTTCTGTCGATCGAACCAGTAGCCGTAGTCGTACCAAAGACGTACCAGCTCCAAGGGAGGCTGCGAACCGTACTCGTCTCTCACCGGCATGTTAATATCGTCCATGAAAGCTATCATCTTCTTACCTAATTCAAAAGTTAATTAAATAAATCTTACTAAAGTCCTTTGTGAACTTTAGTACGAGTAATATTTAAATGTAATAACGCTTGTTAGTTCTTTTTGTGTAATTTTTTGTACCTTTATAAATTGTAAAGGAATTCTTTGTCGAAATGTATACCTACATATATTTTTTTTACTTTAGTCATATATACATCGAATAAAATTTTAACTGAGTCGAATGTGTACATTAAACATTTTTTTGGAAAATCTTATCAAAATAGTTATTATTAATTATCGACAATATATCTGTCTCTCTGTGTGTCTATCTAAGAACGCATCACGAGAAAACCACTGAACAGATTTTGATGAAATTTGATATGATGATAGCTGGTTATCTGGATCAATATAATTAAATAATATCTCATTTCTGAGAAATCTATACTAAACGTTAAAAAGTAACTACGGACGAACCCGAGCGAAGCGAGGGTGAATCTCTAATAATATATAAATGTAACACATAATTACTTTTTATGTTCATAAACGTAAAATGTGTATTTTAAATATTTAAATAAAACACAATATATGTATGTACGTATTCCCTTTTTAGCGTCCCACTGCTGAGCACGGGTCTCCCTTCAGTACGAGGGGGATCAGGCTATAAGTCCACTACGTTAGCCAAGTGCGGGTTGGCGGACTTCACATGTCTTTCAAAAACTTGCTAGGTTCTCTTAGACATGCAGGTTTCCTCACGATGTTCTTCCTTCGCCGTAAGACAAGTGGTAATCATGTTAGAAATGATTCGCACATGAAAATATCAGAGATGTGAGGCCCGGGATTTGAACCCGCTTCACTCGGTTACCCAAGCGAGCGCGTTACCACTAGGCTACCGCTGCCTACACAATATATATTCGCTTATATTTACCCACATATGAAATTAATACAGTTTTAGGAAATTCTAATGTCAAACTAGGGGCAACTTTACATCAATCATTGGAAAGGCTGAAAATAATCACAAATTCCACACCTCCCGCAGGTACGTAGTTGCCTTTAGTCCTCTTCTCAAGTCTGGCTTCTATGATATCTTGCACATTCGCTGCAGTGGTTTGCGCTGACATATTAATAACTTGCGTGCTGTATCTGGAGTTAAAAACATAAAATTATTTATCATTTTAAGAATAAAAAGTTTATATCAACAGATACTCTAATATAATAGACACCAAATTTAGTTTGTCTGTTTGTTTGTCGTACAAGATCACGTAGCAATAAAATACCAGATCAGATGTGATAATTGAAAATGAGATAGGAATATTGTAGAAAGTTAATATCTCTTGTTAATGTCATAGCGTTATAATAGATACTCTTTCTCAACAAAGATAATATAAACTACAAAAAAACGTTCAAATCTGAATGCTACTTGCAGAGATTAAACTGTTAAAACAAACAAACAAACAAGCAAAATAACAGGACATACATTAGTATAGGCAGATTTGTACTATGATTAACTAATTTAAAAAAAAAACATGTTTTTCTAAACTATCAAATACTATACCTATCACGATCTAAGCTCGCCAAAGTGCCTTGCAACAAGCAAGTCTTGCCGGTCCCGGTGGACCCTCCCACTAGCACCCCGTGGCCCGCTCTCACTACTTCGAGGCCAACCATTTGTATCCTTATGAACTCCACTGTAGGGACCAGAATAGTATGGAAACCTAAACTAATGGGAGTATTGTGGAATGTAAATTTCTGAGAATTCTAATTGTAAAAGAAGTTTATTACTTGTAGCTACAAGGAACGATTTTTTCCTGCTACTTCACGAATTATCATACCTGTGGCTTATTACCTTAAAATATAACAAACTATAACACCCTTAATTCTTTTTTCTACCGGTAAAAATTGTATGAAAATATGTACAGTAGTTTCTGAGATTACCCCGAACGAACAAAAACTTAGCGCGGCGATCATCGAACAAAAATGTACTAGATACACAATCCCATTCAAAAGTTCTCTTAAAACTGTCACCAATTGTGTTTAGGTTTCCAGTTGAAATAAATATACTACAATGTAAATTGAACCTTAAATTCAAAGGTTAAAGTTGTTTTCACAAAAAAAATTAATGCAAGCTCAAATGTTCAAATGAGCGCTCATTCGGTGAGGACATTCTTTTGTCACTGATTGTGTATCTAGTACTTTTTGCTCCATGGCGGCGTTGGGCTTTTATTTATAATATCTAGTGATACCTATTACTTTTATTCTTAGTTTAGCTACATTTTACACGGTCATGTAATATGTAAGTATAAATATGTTATTGATATTGTTTCATTGATTTCAAATCAAATATTTTCAAACACTTAAAGAATCACACAACGCTCGTGTAATTCTTCAGTTTTTCAAGCAAAAGATTGTCCTGAGGCCCCCATAATTTTAAATCTAGCCCTGGCGACACTATAATGGTTCCGTTTATTTATTTTTTTAAGTCAGTTGTGACAAATTATGAAGCAAAAAATCATAATTGGGATACTAATTCATAGATTATAATAAAATATTAAAGCTGTGTAATAAGGTTATAGCCTCTTACTTAGGATTAAACCTCCAGTTATCAGGCAACTTATCTTCCCACGGCTTGAACTGCCTCAACCTTTCATCTACATAATAATCGTACACAGTGTCCTTTAATGGGAAAACACCTTCGTGCTCTCGTATCCAATTGTCAAGTTTCCGACGCGATTCCTCTTCTAACGTCGCACACACTGACCATACTAGTCTACAAAGTATTTTTTTTTTAATTTTTTAAATCAAACTAAATCGAAGCATATGTAAAAATTGACATTTTAAATCAATAAGCAGTACGGAACTTAAAATGTTGATAAATTTTAATGCTAATGTATTTAACTTATAGATCTAATAATTAATCCAATTAATAATTTTACTTGCACTATTGTGCAAAGCTCGAATTTCTCTTTAAGACTCAAAAATAAATAAACGTAAATTTTAAACCAAACTTCTTCAGAGAAATTAATTTTAGTGAATTCAGAGGGAGGATTGATTATATTTTGGCTTAACATTCCTAGAGAAAAATCATCTACCTACCGCAAGCAAAGCCGCGAGCAATAACTAGTATACTATATAATTTCAACATTAAACAGTCATTACAAAGCGCTATTCTACACAATTAAAGTGACACTAACGCAAACAGAAATCTCATTTTGGAGAACGATTCATTATCTTCTTGGTCGGGTAAAGGCTGCGCGGGCGCAGGCAACAAGCCTAACAAACGGCACAAAGACCTTACGCCGGTTAATTCTTGACCTCTAACACTTTGTCCTTCCACTAGATGTAACCTTTTGAGTTCTAACACGGGGGTCAAGATATTTTGGAAATGGCGTCGGAGCTAGAGAAAATAATTAAATATTCGAGTATTAATAGCTATTCTAATAAATAAATTAATAGAAAATTGACAACTAACAATTCTTTAAGCGTTGAACCTTATAACTTTAACAAAAAAAATCGACATTCATAGACATCTAAGTGATCTTAGATACAAAGTGGACCTACAACACTTAGATAGATACAGAAACCTATTTAATCAGTCTAAACAAATTACCCATTAAAATAATACTCCACATACCATCTCTCTATATTCCAGATCGCTAACCGATTCGAGCCAGGAGTTGACAAACGGCCACCAACCCCAATCCTTATAATCGTTATACACTATACCATTACGTGACACCGTTGCGGGTGACGCTACGGCTAAGTCCAAAGTCTCTATGAGGAGGGAGACCTGATGAAATGAATTATTTCATTAAGTTTGGTCTATTATTGCTTCTTTAACGTCCCACTGCTGGGCACGGACCTTCCTTCAATACGAGTGGAATCAGGCCATAGCCCACCACGCTGGCCAATTGCGAGCGGACTGAACATGTCTTTCGACAACTTGTTAGATTCTCTCAGATATATTCTCTTAAAGAGATAAGTCATCCTTTGTACACATGGTAGATATCTGTTTTCACTTTTATATTTTTTTTCTGGTACATAAATAAATAAATATACAGGTTTCCTCACGATGTTTTCCTTCACCGTAAGACCAATAGTAAACTTGATCCCCCTCGTATTGAAAGGAGGCCCGTGCCCAACAGTGGGACGTTAAAAAGAGCTGAATACAAATTTTATTATAATCCTAAATTTTTAACACGCATAACCAGGAACAGAAACTAGATAATGAATTAAAAAATATCAAACAATTGTGCGTATACGTACCTGAGAAGGCATTGATATTCTTTCACTGTTAACTAAAGTCAAAAGCTTATTATCATCCATAACCGAGTTAAGATTCTCTATCCAAACCGCGTCTACGGGGCCGTCAAAAATGATCCACTTTTGATCTGGCGATTCGTCTGAAAACACACATTCACATATTTTCTAAGAGATATTTATCCTACTAATATTATAGACGCGAAAGTTTGTTAGAATGTATGTACGGATGTATGTTTGTTACTGTATTTAGATAGTAGATTTTGATGAAACTATGCAATAATATTGCTCATACATCAGAAAAACACATAGGTTACTTGTTATCCCGGAAAAAAGTACGGTTCCCGAGGGTTAGATTTGTTTTTGTTTTTCAGTATCAAATAAAAATAACTCTAATTCAATCTTAGATTTACGCCAATATTTACCTTTTCGGATTTTTTCGCTGATTTATTTTGATATTTGTCCTTGACGATATTTCGAATGCTTTACAGCAATAATAGTCACGGGAGGAACCTCTGTCTTTCCCGAGAAAAAATCCGAAAAGATAGTTTTATCTAAAGTAACTATATTAGATGCAACTGTTACTACTGTTGTAATTTAAATGTATTTTTTACAAGTACCTACATAATGTTTTCTTAAAAAACATTGCCCAAGATGTCCCGAAACTTTCCAGTTAACAATACATGCTTACTCAGATAATATATAGGTACTTGTAAATATAATTGAAAGGTGAGAAATTTCATTATACCTAGCCTATATCGAGTTAATACACATGGTTCACACGACGCTAATTCCACTAAAGTAAGATATTTTTGTTTTCTCCATTTGTTCATAGATATGGAAATGCTCTTATTTTAGGAACAGCTTAACACGAATTCTTTTGAGGAATCTTTACTAATTGAACGATCTCGATCGAAACTAATATGGGTTTTTCTCTGTTCCAGTAATAAAAACATTTTCCCGCGGGATACAGTTATGAGACTCGAATGGATTCGAGTGAGGACGTCATATTCTAATTATTGTCAGCATCATAATCGCAGACGAAAGCTATTCTCAAACATACCTTGACAAGTGGTCCTCATTATAGAAGATAAAACACCATCCTTCCACTCCCCTGTAGCCAGATTATATTCCCCATACAATTCACCCAAAGTCAAAGATTTCGGATTCATCGGATACACTTGAACATTCTCGAAGCCTGGTACTTTCTCTCGATGCAATCTACTTAAGGTCGCCGCTAACATTTTCCAAGACACAGTCTTAGCAGTGTTTGTATCACCGAGAAGAATACTAGAATGTCGAGAGTTCTGGAATAACGGTGTTCAGTAAATATTTAGCCCTAAATCTTAAGATCCATTTCTTTAAATATCACACGAATACTCAATTAAAACGATAGACATATATCAAAGCTCCACAATATTAAATGTTCTTGAGGCATATGTATATGACACTAGCGACTCATCCTCTCCCCGGTTGGGGGTCGTCCCTACTTACGTTTTAGCGTTTAGTATAGGTTTTTTAGAGATGAGATATTTCCCGCAGTAAACAGTATTCTATATGTTGACCCGGATAACCAGCTATCATCATACCAAAAATTCATCAAAATCCGTCCAGTGTTTTTTGTCATGCGTTCCCAGACAGACAGACATACAGACGGACAAAAATATTAAAAACTATAGATTCGGCCTTTGTATTGATAATAATGAATATTTCAATAAGATTTTCCAAAAAATATCTAATATACAAATTCGACTCAAAATTTTCCTATAAGTAGGTATAGATAACAAAATTTACTCTATGCATCTTATATGCCAAATATCAATATACTTACCTATTACATCACTACATGTTATCTTTTACATCGTTTATATGTTTAATATTATTTAATTATTACTATCGTAGCTAACGTTAAAATACAAATAATTCTTCCATTACTTACTTTAGTCTCATATGTTTGTATAACTTTATACAACGCCGCCTTAATCGGCTGCAAAGTGAGCAGTCTCATCTCAGCAGATATTGCTGTTTCCAGCATCTCGTAATCTAGCGTTGGAATCTCTACATCGGGGAATATATCTCTCATTATACCATCGAATAACGGCACGTCTTTAGACGTTAAACGCGCTACGTTCATGTCCCGCATAGCTAGGATTACCATCTGTGACACAAATTATGTACTTATTTGTAAAAAAATATACACTATATATTACAATGGAGGCTAAGCAGTAAGGCAGTCCCTGGCAATAGCCGAGATTAGGTAATAATGCCTGGCAGAAGAAGATATTATAATGGTAATATTATATATATGAAACTTTATGTATGAGCGTGTGTAGCTCAAACATAAACTTTGTCGGTTTAAACATTCAAGATGTTTATACCGAATTAAATACAGGATATTTTTTCGACAAACTGACGCACGAGCGACGCCACGAATTAAAATTAGTATCACGTATTTACATATTCTTTAAAAAGAAAACAGTTTTTACAATTGTCTTATAATAGATTGGTTAATTATACATTCGTCAGACGTTTCAGCTAAGTAGGTACAATGTTGTTAGCCAATTAACATAAAATATACTTACATATAATAAACATTCGAAGGTCCCTTCAATGCATAAATAAACGAAGGACAAATGAACATAAGTCATGAGATCATATTCAAATTAAGTATCTTTGATAATCATTATTATTAGGAACGAAAATCTAAAAAGTATACTAAAACAAAATTCCATCACCTCTTGCTCCGGCAGGTTGGGGTAAGCACGTCGTTTCACGCCCGCATACCTGAGCAGTGCTACCATTGAGCGCAGACCAAAGTCGTAATGATCCTGCTTAGATAGTTGCTGCATTGCCAATTGGTATAGAGTAAACACCTACAAGTATTTTTACTAATATGTTTATATATACTAATATTATAAAGAGGTAAAGTTTGTGAGTTTGTGACGTTGTAGAGGGTAATCTCTGTATCTACTAAACCGATTTAGGTGAAATTTAGTAAGAAGATAGTTTGTGACCCTGGAAAGAAAATAGGATAGTTTTTATCCCGGAAATCATCCCTTGAAGGGGTGAAAATGGGGATGAAAGTTTGTATTGCGAATCAAGCTTGGGACGAAACCGAGCGAAGCGCGGGTGAGTCGCTAGTCAAATATAAAAAAGTGATAAGAGTACCAAAGCTTGTAAATAAACTTATCAAGCTTTCGTTAGTGGCAAGAGTGGTCACCAAAACTTGATAACTTTAAAGCTGCACCAAACAAGTGACACTGTCAACTCCTTTTATTTAAGTCGCACATTAAATACCAACAAAATCGGCTCAGCCTTTATTTCATCGTAGATTTTTTCATCTCATCATATATTCGTCATCTCATTTTATATAACAGAAATAAAAAAAAATAACCAAACAGGATTTAATACAAAAATGTCAAATACCTATTTCACAAAAAAAAATTGTATAAACTGGTAAACTAATACCTTTTTAGCATTTATCTTATAAGCGGTAAAACCATCAGAGAATAACGTATTCTCCGCAATAATAAGTGAATCGGGAACACACATGGCGATAGGTCTGAACATTGATTTTAAATTGTCCGGCAGCTCCGTTCGACCGGCGTAACTAAAAACATAATTTCTCTTAAAAATATTGTCTAAATTGACCAATAATAATTGAACTGAGCATAAATAATTTTTGTCTTTGTTTCTTTTATTGTCAATGATAAAAAAACAACAAATCACTAACATTCTAAGAACTTTCACCGACATGAAGAAAAAGAAATGTCCGCTTTTGCGGTCAAGAGGTGGTCAAGAGTAAATCATAGCTTCACCGCTTAAATATACAACACGTACATAACCCTAGTTCAAACCATACCAATACGTACCCTGGATTCATTGTAATAAATATTCCACAGTTTCCATCCAATTTGATATCAGCGCCTTCAAACATGAATCGTTTCTGGTTTAGAGATAAAGCCAATAGAACGGCGAGAATTTGTTGTGCGACGACTGATAGCACCTCTATATTGATACGATTGAACTCATCGAAACATCCCCAACAACCACTTTGGGCAATGCCTATTTGAAAATTTAGTATTATAATTTAAAATACATACTTCGACAAAAGTATATTTTAGATTTGTTCTTATTAAGTTTCATAACTAGCTTAGACCCAATTTAGAGAGCAAATAAATAATACCTAAAGTAAAAATTAAGTAAGCAAACAATACTGTTGGCAACCCGTACTTGGCCAGCGTGGACTATGACCTGACCCCCAGTATTGAACCCAGGTCTGTGCTGGAGCAGTGGGACGTAAAAAGGGCTGAATACATACATACATTGTTGGCAACATCTGGCAACTCGAGTTTAATACTAGAAGAGTGAACATGAAAAGTGATACATGAACTCATAATTGATATTAGCCATAGCTATACAATTATTATTAGCCTGCCTCGTTGATCTAGTTTTGCATGTATGAGTATAGATCTGAAGGTCCTGGGTTCGAATAGAGGTTATTGAAACAAAATCTCAGTAACACCCCGGAGTTGGGAAGTTGATTTTGTTATATTGTAGAGCAATCTATCCTACGTCTCTACACACACCGATCATGTCGAACCATCGTCTCATTGGACTTTTGAAGTATAAGGAACAGATGGTGGTCTTGTGTTTGCGCACGCACGTGGTACACTTAAAAAATCTCCTGCGTAAATGTCTACTCTCATTAAGATCAGCTGCTTTGGCCTAAATCGATCTGGAGAATATTATATCGCACTTCAAATATACGCATAATCTTTGCTTTTAGCTCAATTACCTGCAAAACATTTAGCCATACTCTTATAATCAAGTCCGTCTGAACAATTAGTAACTACGACCCATCGAGCCAACGCTCTGCCAAGATCCTTTGTGGTCTCCGTTTTGCCTGTACCGGCCGGGCCTTGGGGACTTCCTCCGCGGAATAAATGTAATGCTGTTGTCAGTGTGATGTAACATCTGTTTTATATGAAATATGATGATGAGTATAGCCTTAATACAGTTTTAAAGAAGTTTTTTATTCACTTCTTCCTTTTATGTCCCAAAACAGCTAAAATACGTAATCATGAAATTAGAAACCTCCGATAATCTCCCATGCCCTAGTGGAATTGCTATTAGAAATTTATAGAGTCCTACAAATTGCATTCCAATATAGAAGACACCAAATTAACGGGATCGTTATCCAAATCTATATAATATATAGGTATATAAAACAAAGTCTGGTTTGTTACAACATATGACTAACAATTACAACAATTATATGTATATTATAACTCGAGAACGGCTAGACCGATTTTCATGATCTTTATGTTGTTGGATTTGTCTTCACCCCGAATAGCAGAATAACTGTTAAAACATCGGAAAAAAATCCCGAAAAAAAAAATTGAAAAAAAATCATACTAAGGGCCAAAACGTACCTAAGAAGGAACCTGAGCGAAGCGAGGGTGAATCGCTAGTGAACTCATATAATTAATTTTAATTAGACATACAATTACAAATGATCACCTATCAGTTAAAGGAGTAATCACTAAACGTCCTGAATTGCCAATATACTCATAGGTATAAATGGAATTTGTGTTTGTTTGTCTGATGTAGCAGTCTTCCCGCTCTCGGTCCCAATAGAACTTCAATTGAGAGAACCACTCAAAAGCTGTAACTGACATGCACCCTGTCGTAAAGGTACGATAAAAGATCAATATCGTTTGAAAATGATTATATTTTAAGTTTAATAGAAATTGTATACATTAAATTTTTATCTATTTAATAAAATTGTAACTAAGCCGATTCTGTACATTGAATATATATAATCTGTACATGGAAAATCTTATTGAAATAGACATTAGACCTTAATATCAATCGAATCTATGGTTTTTAGTATTTTTGTCTGTCTGTCTTGAAAAACCACTGGAGGGATTTTGATGAAATTTGGCATGATGACAGCTAGTTATCCTCAACATATAGGATAATTTTTACTGCAGGAAAATATCTCATCTATGAGAAATCTATACTAAACGTTAATACGTAACTAAGGACGAACCCAAGCGGAGCGAGGGTAAATCGCTAGTAAATACATAAATGCGAAAGTTAGTACGTCTATGTGTATTTATGTATGTTTGTTACCCTCCCACGCTGAAACGGATGAAGAGGTTTTGATGAAATTTTCTACACATATAGATTGGACATAGGCCACTTCTAAGCCTAGGGACGACCTAACCTAACTACGCCTGGACCCAAGCTAGGGAGGCCCCCAAGCGAAGTGATATAAATCACTAGTAATAAATATATTTCATTAAACACAAAAATATCTACGTAGATCACAACTAACCCATTTTATACATCCTATCAACGGTATCTCTAGAATGGATTTCTATAACACACAAAGCGTTCACTTTACACCTTAATATCTTCGAGATCTCCTTTCGAGACATCGCTTGTAATGTTGCCAGAATCTGATTTTGCTTTTTACGTAGCTTTTTTAAAGGTTTCTTCTCTTTCATTATCTCACAACGACATAGCGTCCGGGTGCAATCAGAAGTCCATTGAATCTGGTAATTTTGATTAGAAATTATTTCAACCTTAATAAAATATTACTTAGAACAACAAATTCCATATTATTTAGTGTTTAAGAATTCCTAGCATATCGTCTCAGACCAATAAAAAAGTACTTTTACAGTTTTATTGGTCTGAGTATATCGTATTTGTAATTTCGGTGAGAAATGGTAATGGTAGGTATAGCATACAGTAGTGAAATTAAAATGAGTCGACAATTTTATTTCGAAAATTATTAAAGGATTTTAGATATTAGTGCTTATGTGATTAAAAATTATAATTACTTTGTAACTAAAAACATTCACCGAATCCAAACCATAGTGATGAGATTTGCCAACCATTAGGTGCTGCTATTTATTAAAAAAATATATAATAAAAATGAGTTCAGCATTGGTTCATAAATCGCGTATCCATCCAAAAAAATTTTATGTTAGAGTCAAAATTCTTTTTCAGTAAAAACTACTTTTAACTGACAAAAAAAAATCAAAAATACTTTTGACCACCTCATTAGTCAAAAGTACTTTTGACTGTTTTTGTGGAAAAGAGTTTTGACTGTAACATGTACACATCCTTCTTTTTTGAAGTCGGCAATAAACTTTACCTTACTACTAGTGATGCCGAGCTGTCCGGGCCAATCGTTTATCCATTGCTCTCTTTGATATCTACATTTTCTCAAAGCAGCTCTTGTCAATATTAGTTGCTACAACATTACGTATTTTATGTATTCAGTTTTAATGAATACGTTAAAACTAGTACAAAAAAATATTATTTTTTAAATATTATCTTCGCACCAGACCTGGACTATGGAAGACTCAGTATGTATCTATAAATTATAATATACATTCTGCTCACATTGCCTAAGCCAAGCAGTGAAAATGAGCTTTTCTCTCAACTTAATTTCAATATGACCACCTTACAGACTCAAGTATTGAACTGATGATCAGTAACTCGTGACTGTCTGGGGACTACGTAACATAGATATGACTTAGAAACACACTTAAATCAACACTAAGCAATTGTTATTTTAATTGACTAAAACCTAAATCAAATCGTATAAAACACCCACCTCTCTTAAAACAACCCGCATAGTGTGTTCTAGCCCTAAGAGCCATACTTCAGCCGGACCATCCAACACAAGATTATATTTCCACTCTATACACTCCCCATCGTCAGACATCATTGCTTTAGCTACGGGCAAACCTATTGCATTCTAGAAAATAATAAGTATGAAGAAAAAATTAAAATTAATATTTTACTTTAAAAATCTCTAATAAGATTAAATTTTTATTTTAATAATTAACTAATCCTTCCTATTCATTGGCCCATATTTGACAAAATGGTCCTCTTTGAGAGAGGGAAAAAATATTTATACTTTATTCAAAAGACTTGTTCAAGCACTATTGAAAATAGGCCATAGTACACTTGCAAAATGATTCTCAGCACACTTTTTTGAAAACTAGTTAAAACATGCAGGTTTCCTCATGGTGTTCCTCTTTATTATATTTGCCAAATGTGTTTTGCAAGAGAAAGTATAAGAGCAAAGTTTTAAATCTGTTCTTTTGTTTTGATATTTTATTATTGTATTAACTTAATCAAGAAAAGTACACAAACTGAAAATCTGGTGTAAATTTTATATTATTAAAATAAAAAAAATTGCAGGAATTAGGATTTAAAAAAAGTTTTAACAATTGTCTTGGAATAATACTTTGTATTTATCATCATATTTATCTCTGTGGCCATCGTAGGTAAAAATAAAGAAAAATGAAACTTAACCTATTTACTATAGGTAAACAAAATATTTAAATATCACCAAATGGTACATAAAAATAAAAAATAAACTGCATTTAAAATCAAATCACAGGCATTTTATTGTTTATTTACATAATATTTTTCTCATCGTCTTTGAAAATGATCAGAACAGAAAAACATTGAGAACTCAGATCTTATTAAATTGTATTCATGTTACTAGAACATTTTTTATAATTTTAATATTACATAAAAAAATAAATAAATTGTAGTTGAAAAATCATAATAAATTATAGTATTAATAAAATTATTAAAAATTTAATACTATCGTCCATATATTTTTTCTTGTAACGATAACAGTGTTTTGTATACAGCCTTCTTATCCTGATCAGAACGGCAAGAAAGAACCATATGCAGATAATCATTTAACAATAGCTGAGCTTTTGCCAATGGATGATACATTAGCAGGATAGTCAATGCCTGTAAAAAAAGTAAAAAATATATAAGTACTTTACCATTATATTGATTTCTATGAAATTATTTTTACATATTGTTAAGTCTTATTTATAGTTTTCACATTGTATGTTACACAGTTGCAATATTTCTCGTTTATATTCTACTAAAATATACTTACTCTCATATAAATAGGTAATTCATCACATCGATTAGATGTATGCTCCCATATTGGTGATTTTTTTAATAAATAAACAAGTCTGTCCCAATCATGAGAATATATAGCACGTCTTAAAGCCAATTGGAATGCATTCCTCCATTTTACTCTTCTTATTTCAGAATCGTACAAACTTCTATTTGTTTGTAAATGCACGAGGTTACGCTTGCAACGCTTATCGTGCTCTCTAAATGCGAACGGTGTTTCTAATAAATCCATTGCTCTTTGCTGAAATATTACACAGTCAATATTAAAGTTTAAAAATTGTTTGTTTCATAAAATGATAAAATAAATATTACTTTACATAAAATTATTTTTTGAATAAGGTTTGATAGGTTATGCCATTCGTAAATTAAAACACACAAAAAGTACTTACCAAGGTACTTAATGGCACGTAATGGCAATTAAGTATGTCTTCAGACATATCTTAGATATTACTTCTTATGTATTTTTAATAAAAAAACGTTTTTATTTTTTAAGTAAAAAGTGGCGGCAACAAAATACAATTCAATTTTTTTGTTATTGGCTTCAAAGCGTGCCAGCTGAGCACAGTAATTTCCGAATTCCGACTTCGCCAATATCAATTAACAATTTTCACGTAGAATGGAGAAAACACAAAGGCGGACGAAGATTGGCATTTGGTAAGAAGTAACAACTAATAAAATTTAAGTTTAAAGTCTAGTTCTACACGCTTTTTTCAAATCCTAGTTTTGTTTTGACTTTTGACATTGACATTTTAATATTGCCATATCGATTTCGTCATTTCGTCAAAAATATTTTTTGGTTCAGATTGTATGCAACAGTAATTCAATAGGATTATTTATTAGGATCCTATAGCATCCAAAATAACAGTTTACGATATTATCTACAAATGGTATTTTAGATTTTTAATGAGTAGTGGAAAAAAATATTATAAGTTTTAAGTGTCTCCTGAAAAATTTGCTCATATGGAGTTTGCTGGTTTGCCAATTAAGGTTAATTTGCCATGGCAAAATAATAAAGTTTTATTATTTTATGAATGATGATGCCATCTTAAAAGGATTATACTTTTATAAAAATTGCGTCATTTTCTAAAATCATTAATTTTATTTTATTAAGGGTAAAAAAATGACACGGTAATAATACCTACTAACTAAAGTATAAATATTTTATGTAATAATTTAAGTAGCTTTATCTTAAGAATTTAAACTAAATTTCGAAATATTGTCTTAATATCCAATTTATTCAAGATAAAATAAATGCACATACCTTGTCTATTCTTATTTTATTAACGTTATCGAATAACTTCTTTAAATGAACTTGAATAAGTTGCGGTTTCTTTGAGTTACCTAATATTTCTAAAAGATCATCATTTGAAATGAAATAGAATCTCGGAAATAATTGCCGCTTTGTTTCAAGATACTTCTCTAATGCCCTCAATATACCGTCCAAATTATCAACCATTTGATTTAATTTATTAAATAAATAAGGAGCTGGCTTATATAGACATGCTTCGATCGCATTTGTACCAGCGTACATACTGAAATTTTAATAAAAGTCTTTATTATATAATTATTATATTTTTTACTCTTTATGATTCTATACTAACTTGCTAGTAATTTCAGTCCAATCAGTAGTTAACGCATCAAATATCTTGACCTCATTGGGCAATTGTTTTCTTATATCTTCTCCACTAAATATACTTCCAAGATATAAATAACGTCGTTGCACTTGTAACGAAATCTGAATAGGAATTAAATAGGCTGAGGTACCTAGATTATATCACCGTTATACTAATACTGAACAACAAGTTCTATAACATCCTTATCGAAATACTATTAATGATTACAACTGAACATATGAATGGTGAAATTTACTTATTTAAGTCATGAAACTATAACATATATCAATAAGTCAACAAAAAAATCTAAAGGAATAAAAATAACCTCAATACACTCAGCCACATATCCTAAAGATTTCTCCCAATAATCTACTTCTTTAATAAACGGCTCAACATATTTTGTTGATTTCATAGAAGAAAGTTGGACTTGGTGATCTTCCAGAAACTATGGATATCGTAATAATTTAAGTTTAATAATTATTTGCTTTCAAATTAATAACTTTATTTTTATATTGTACGTTGGTAATAGTTTATAATAAACATATATTATATAAATATTATTCATATAAGGAAACATTCCTATTAATTGGTTCATTATTTCACACCTGCATTACTTCTTCTACGTTTTTAATTCGATACATCTCTCCTCTATGATGTTGCATGTCATATGTTGTAGCTTTCCACACTTCTCTAATGGCTTTAAGACCATTTTCTATATTTAATTCCATTGTCGCAGCATTTGATATTTCAGCAATATCTTCAGCATACGCTTGGAAATTAAGTCGCATTATCAATTCTAGCTTAAAATCTTCAGAGTTTTGATCGAATTCTCTATTAAAATTATAATAAAAGTTGTAAATTAATTTCTTTAAAACAAATAAGACGAATCATATCACGCGCGACACTCACACGGCCATCAGAGTTTTTATTCTATCCCAATGGCGCTCTCTCATACAAGGGTTCTTTAGGTCTCCAATTAAAGGTAACGTTCGTCGAAAAGCGTCTACTTTAACTCGAGTTGTATCAATAATATCCCATCCCTTATCCTTAAGTTGACGAGAAAGTCGGTTAAAATTCCTTAAAAGAATAATTTTTATTAAGATCTTTAGAAGAAATGTAAAAACCATTGTACGTGGTAGGTATAGTTTTTTACCTAAATAGATACATGATATTATCTTCCATTTCATCAGTTTCCATTTCCCAAAAGGTTTGAGTTTTATATTTTTCCCAAGATTCTTCCCACTGATTTACCAATTCCCATACTTCTTCTAATTTTTCTAATTCTTTCTCCATCTTTTGTAAGTCGAGATTCACAGGAGTCCTGATATGAAAAAAAACAATAATTTATTGTAACTACATCTGTCTAAAAGGGTCGCATTTTTGTAGTAGTTTACAATTTACAACTTGAAAAACCATTAAATAGATATTAGAAATGAATTAATAAACTAAAAATTACGTCAAATTAAATACAGCAAGCCCATCTCTTATTTGCTGTTCTTGAGCTCGAAGTGCATTAAGCTGATCTCTAAAAGCTTTCAACTGCGCTAAAGCATCTTTCCCTGTTACATCAGAACTACATGGTGCGGTTTTATAAAAATCTTCGCAAAATTCTTTTGCTGCTTCTTTGAATTCCTATTAGATATTAGATATATTTAAGGTTAATTCGAGTTAACTAAGTTTACCTACCTATATTTAGTTATATACTATAATTGTACTTCGATGACACGTTTGACTCAGCTTGTAGTGACCCTATTTGCTGTGCCAGCCTTCGCGGTTTTTTTTATTTTGATTTGTGTGATGAGCACGAATGTTTTTACTTTAGTCATGGGTGTTTATATTTATAATATGTATGTATTTAAAGTTATATATGTGTAGTGTATCAACTATCTAGTATCAATAACACAAGCCTCGTAGCTTACCATGGAACTGGATGGTACTGTGTATTAATGTTCCAACATACGTATATAGCATATATAATTATATGTACTTATAAGTAACGATAATAACAGATACATTTAAAAGTTATCCATTTGTTTTTAGTAAAAATTATAAGCTAAAAATAAAAACAATTTTTATCGTGAAAAACTATAGTGCACATTATTATTTAACAATTTACAGTATACCTCAGCTTGTTCCAAGAGTTCCGTTTTAAATTTATCTTTATTTGCTTCTAATTGTTTTTTAGCTTCTTCTAATATTGCAAGATATTCAGTCCAAACTAAAGGAATGTTTTCATAACGAGTGCTCATGTCCAAGCTAAGTTCCACTTCGAATTTACCTATATAATAAATACTTATAATTTTCAGATGTTTTTTGTAAGTACATAATAAAAGCAAATTAAAAAAAGTCTTTCGAACTTACTATACATCGAACTAATCAATAAAACCAAACAAATCCATAACTTATTATAAAAAGTTTTTTTAAATTAAAGAGCTAAAAAGTTAAAATCTTACCAAGGGTCATCATTTTATCTGAGATAGGTGGAAATGTCTTTTCTATTTTTGGTATTTCTGAAACAAGTCGTTCATATGTTGCCATTGCCGATGCTAGTTCTTTTAAATCAGATGGCATCTAAAATTTGATTTATAGTTAGTAGCTACCCCTACCCACAATGTAACTGTAAGATTATTTAAAAAAGTAACTACTTAATTAATTATTTAATATTTACGTACAGTCATTGCTTCTGTGCTGCTTCTATCAACATATGCGTATACCACGTCGATATCAGATTCCGTTATTTTCCGCAGTAATTCCCCTAATTTGGTTTGCCATACCAAACAATGAGCTATTATTGATTTTTTAAGTTCACTGGAGTTAAGGGTAATAAAGTGAATCTGGAATTTTATATTCGTTATTCTTTTAAAAATATGATCGTAACATATTGCTTTTATATCATACTAGCGACTCTCCTTCGGTTTGTCCCTAGGTTGATTCCCCATACAAACTTTCATCCTCATTTTCACCCCCTTAAAGCATGATTTCCTGGATAAAAAGTATCCTATGTCATTCTCAGGGGCTCAAACTATCTTCTTGCCAAATTTCATCTAAATCGGTTCAGTATATCCAGAGATTACCCCCTACAACGACACAAACTCACAAACTTTAACTCTTTATAATATTAGTATAGATTAGACTATTATAGTATATCATTTGAAAATACGTTAAAAGTGTGAACTTTATAATAATGTAATAGTTAAAATATAACAAGTTCCAAAATAGAAATTTAAAAACCTGATTAATAGTTTCCTGTACTTGCACAGTGTTAGCAAGGTTGCTATAATTAATTATGAGCTCATCAAAATGAGCTGCCGTATGATTTTCTTCGCGATATTTCACCATAAACTCATCTTTATCAATTTTCCAAATATGAGAGTATGGATCCCACATTTGTATATGCTCATTAACAAGGGTTAGATTATATTCTATTTCTGAAATAATAAACAAATTTACCATAAATATCTTTGGGAATTAAAACGATCATTACTGATACTGCTGTATCTAAGTATAAACTTAGCTACGCTTTCAAAATAATATTGCCGCTGCTACGAAACATACAATTTTTGTTTACATATACATTTTCCTATAGCTTACCTGAGTCGATTAATGATTGCAGTTTATTGCTGTCAGTATCTGTTTGTATGACTTCTTTAAATTTTTTAAGGCCACCAGCCGGTAATCCAAATTTTTCAAATAGTCTTGGTATTGTACTAATCAGATAAATAATTTCTTTAAGAATCGTGGTAAATGTTTCGCTTAAATTATTACGACTTGGGTCATAAATTATATTTTTACCAGTCAAATATAAGTTCATTTTGATCAACGGAGATGGAGCCATAGTTCCTGAAATAAGCATTATGCTTTGAATTATAATCAACTAGCAGAACCCGCGGCTTCGCTCGCGCTAAAACTACAAAAACAGACTCTAAAAGGTAGGTTTCATACAAACTTTCATCCCTCATTTTACCCCCTCATGGGATGAATTTCGAAAAATGCTAAAACACATCGTTATTTAATTGTAATGAAGAGCATTTATACCACGTTCCAAGTATTTCTGATCATAAATATTTTTTGAATTGTATTATAACGTGTTTTTCCGTGGGAACGAGATAATCTCCCGCGGTAAAAAGTAGCCTATGTCACACTCTAGCCCTCCAACTATCTCACACAAAAAATCATGCCAATCCGCCAAGTCGTTTTGACGTGAAAGAAAGACAAACAAACAAACACACTTGTATATTTATAAATATTAGTATGGATATGGATTATTACAATATATCTTATTAATGAAGTATACAAAAAAACTAGTACATGTACTAACCATCACCGTGTACACATTTGTACATATTTTGCATAGTCGCTTTTATGGCTAAACGCAATGCATCTTCTAGTAATCGATCAAATCTTCTCACATATTTTATCCAGTGATCAGCCATCTAAAGAATAAAATGATTAATACGTGAAATAATATCACCCTTTTCATTATATGAGTGATAAAATGAAATGATATACAGACTAATCTACTAATCTTTTACCGAGCTATAAATAGCTCATCATCGGTAAACCGAATGAAAAATATTTTGTACTGAATCTCTCCCTAATATAAAATTCTCGTGTCAGTGTTTGTAACAAAACTTCTCCGAAGCGGGTTAACCGGTTCTTAAGAAATTTTGTGTGTATATTCAGTAGGTCTGAGAACAGGACGTAAACTATTTTTCATACCCCTAAGTGATAAGGATGGTCCACCCAAAAAAAAAAAAAATTGACATTTTTTTTTATTTTTTTTTTACAATTCGGCATTAAAAATATATACAAACCTAAATTTTAACTGAGTGTGAACCCGAGCGGAGCGAGGGTGAATCGCTACTATAATATAAACTTAAGTTGTGAATTTTACTCTTACGTCTTTTGATTTGTAATACTTTATGCATGCCGATGCCGACGGGTAAAGGCGATCTTATAACGAGTATTCTACTACGAGTAGGTATAGTACTTAATAACAAAAAACATACTTGTGTTATGTACGCTTCAAATCCTTCGTAAACAATAATGACATAAGTTATAATTTCTTTATACATTTCTAATATTTTTGTAACAGCAGTTTCTTCCATTTCTCTTATTTTTTTCCTGAGATCTTGTATTTCAAATACATGATAAATGTCGAATTCAATGAGTGGCGTGTCACATATTCTTTCCATTATTTTGACCAAATTAACATTACAATTTTTATAAGCTGTGAGGAAATCTTGTAACTGTAAAAAATATATATTCTAATTTAAGTAATGTTTTTAAACTTGCGTCACCAAGAACTGACCAAATATTTCATGACATGTGATTGCAGTCGCAAAGAGATAGAATTTAATTAGGTAAAATTTTATTGCTCTTTACTAGAATTGAGATATTTGATAACAAATTGAAATAGATTGCATACATTCTAAAAATCGATCAACATTGGTCAACTCAATAAAAAAGTCGTATGTAATTACTAACTTCGCCAATTTGAGTCACACAATCAGCAATATATGCATCAGACATCGTTGAAGTCCACGTTAATTTTGTAATTCCCGGTTGCACTTTTTTCTCACATGCCTGCAATAAAAAAAAAAAATCATTTATTTATTTCTATTATTATTATGGTAACACTAATTAGTAATTAAGTCCAAAAATATTTTCTTAGTATCTTAATTTTTTTGTTTACTATTTTGAAATTGAACTCAAACAATAACGAGCATATTTAGAATAAGTAAATATTTTTTTGTAAAGTATTACATTTTAAATTTTAGTTTTCAATTAAATTGATTTCCGAACATAACTGTCATTAAGAAGTATAAGCAGATATTTACAAAGCCAACATTGCTATTTTTAATTTTGAATTTTCAAATTTTCAAAGCAGACTGCAGATGTTTTCCTTTCTGAATTTATTAGTTCCTTTTAGAACTTAGCAGGAATTTTGTTAAAGAGACTCACGACAAGATTTATTTATTAAGAATGAATTTAGGGGACCCAGAGCTTGAATTGGTAGATCCAACACCTAATGTACATTCCTTGTTTTTACACTTCGATAAATTGTTTTTCTGGGCTAAATTATCAAGCAGAGCTGTAGTACGTTGGAGTAAAAGAATGTATTCGTGTGCTGGAATATGCTCGTAAGTGTATTTATATATGTTTGTAGATATTATGAAAATAAATTTAACTTTAAACCAAATGATGAGATGTTAAAGCAAATATTATATAAAATAAAATATAAGATTAAAAACACTAATTATTTTAGATGGCAATAATTAGTTTATTTTGTTTGGCATTTGTATTTGTTTTATTTTATAACATAAGTCCCACTATTTTAGATATGACAGAGGTGGACTCTGCGATATCGCATTGAGTGAACCATTACTCAAATTGAGATCTCGTAAGGATTTAGTTGAGACCCTCCTTCATGAGATGATACATGCTTTTCTATTCATCACTAACAGAGACAGAGACCGAGATGGGCATGGGCCTAATTTTAAAGCTCACATGCACAGAATCAATCAGGCTACAGGCTTGAATATAAGTATTTATCATGATTTTCATGATGAGGTAAGGTTACAAATATTTGTTAATAAAAGGTTATAAGTTTTTACAAGTAATGTCTCAATTAAAAAAAAAAACATTCCAGGTAAAACTTTATCAGACACATTGGTGGAGATGTAATGGACCTTGTCAATCTAGAAAACCACACTTTGGAATTGTACGCCGGTCCATGAACAGAGCTCCTGGACCATCAGACTACTGGTGGGATGACCACAAAAGAAAATGTGGTGGGACATTTGTAAAAATTAAAGAACCAGAAAAGCAAGAGAATAAGAAGCAGGTCAAGAAAAGAGCATCTCCCAAGCCAAGTGGTGACATCACAAAATACATAAACACTAATAATACAGGCAAAAACATCTCTAAACCAATATTAAAAGAGTCAAATAATGTGCCAGTGAAATCAAATTTAGTTAAGAATAGTAGTAATACTGTGGTAATATCTAAAAAGAATAATATTGTGTTTAATCCTCAAGTGACAAAGACACCTGATGTGTTCAGCGGTAAAGGTAAAACATTAAACAACAGAAATAGTACAGGTTCATCTGATGTAGCAGAAACGGTTAGAAATGTTTGGGCTAATAGAACATTACCTACAATATTTCCGAATAGTAGTTCAAATAATAAAAATCAAGTTCCTAGAATCAATGATACAAATTCTCCTAATTCTAATAAACATAAAGCTGATACCTCACTTATTAGATCTCCACCATTAAAAATAAAGAAAATCGATGATTACTTTAAAACAATTGCTTCATCAGTGTTAAAAGACTTGTATGGACAAGATTTTGAAATCAAGGAAGTAAATAACAAAAATAAGAGACTCTCAGTAGTGGCCGTTAGTTCAGACTTAGTTGATTGTCCTGTTTGCATTAGCAAAATTAGTAGCTCAGAAATAAATAGGCATTTAGATGAATGTTTAAATAAGGATGTTATAGAAAGTATTTCTAAAAAAACAAAACCTGTGATAGTTATCGATAATGATGGGGTCCATGAAATAAAAGATAAACCACCAAAGGTAAACGGTGGGCCTCTTGATATAATTAATGTTGATTTAAATGCAAATATAAAGACTGAACCTTACTTTAAAAATCCAAACAAAGAAAAGATTGATAACACAGACTTTAAATTCCCAGCTGAAAATGAAATACACATCAAAATAGAACCTGGGACTAGTAAAGAATTAAAAGGTGAACAAAAGTGCTCTTGTTGTGATAAAGTTGTTGATAATTTGGATCAACATTTAGATGAATGCTTAGCATTTTTTGATAATAATACTACGATACCTACAGAAGGTGCTTCAACAAGCTTTTCAACTAGTACAATAGTTATTGATGATGATGATGATGACATTTTTGATGAAAGTTTAACGTTAAACGCTACAGGAACTAAGTCGCCTTGTCCATGTTGTTTGAAAATGATAGAACAAGTTGAAATGAACGATCATTTAGATATTTGCTTAAATCAGTAATATAATTAAAACTATTTTTAGTAATAATTGTTATATGTGATATTATGATTATTGTAATAATAATGTTTTGTATAAATTTTTTGTTTTGTGCCAAATAGATTTATTTCATAAACTAAAATAATTTGTTTTGGTACCATTTGAAATATTTGTTTATGAAGTTTTTATGTTGAAATGTTTTTGTTTTTTTTTCTCTTATATTAAGTGATGAACTAAGATATAGGAACCTCATTTCTCTTTGATTTATATGCAAAAGTTAATGTTACTTATAATACACGATATGTTATACAATAAATTATTAAATAATATAAAAGAAGTATTTATATAGAAATATATCCCATAGAAATGGAAGGGTTTGGGTTTCTCTGAAGGAGCGGATCCAAGATGAAGTGATACAACCATTGATCAAAAAAAGTACTAGATACACAATCCCATGCAAAAGTTCTCTTAAAACTGTCACCAATTGTGTTTTAGATAATTCTTTTAGGTGAAATAAATATACAACATTGTAATTTGAACCTTAAGTGCAATGCTTAAAGATGTTTTCACAAAAAAAAAGCGCGCTTAAATGTTCGAGTAAGCGCTCATTTGGTGAGGAAATTTTTTGTCGCTGATTGTGCATCTAGAACTTTTTTGATCGATGGATATGACAGAACAAAAGTTTTGAAAATAGCCCAAAGAATAAGTAAGCTGATGTGGCATGGGCATGGGCGGCGCCAGAATTGCAAGGGGTGCATCTTCACATTACTACTAATTAATCTTTAAATGATAAACTTTTCAATGGTTATTTATAAATGTTATTTTTTCTTTAATATTTGTGAGTTATTTATCTTTTTTCGCAGATATCTAAACATTGCAGATATTTAAACAGGGATTTTGCTAATATAATTTTATTTCTTTAATTTTTTCCTATATATTCTCCTTCATGGCGGCGCAGTCGATAGAGTAGACGGGTTCTAGAGTGGAGAACCATGGCTCGGCAAACGTAGTGGACGCTCTCCAGCTAGGTGGAGCGACGATTCCCTCGATGTGTGTTCACCTTGACGTGGTGGCGCGCTTATTAAAGTCCGGCAACCCAACCAGGCGTGAAGCCAAGAGATACAATGGGAGGAGGCCAACATCGGAGGGCAGTGTGTCTTGCGGTTTTCTCCTGGTACTTCTCTGATAGCAGAGTTAACCGTCGGGGCGACCTCAGACGGTATGCGCAAATGCATTTCCCAACAGGCAACATTAAAAAAGAAAGGTGGAGCGACGATATACAGAAAAAGATAAAGCAAGCCCAGTAAAGCCATAAAAAAGGCCTACGTCCAGAAGTGCACGAAAGCGGGCTGATTATGATGATGATGATAATTGTTAATATTCCTTGGTAGTTAACTTACCAAAGTAAGAGGTTTGAACAGCAATCTTTCTTCATCGGAAAGAGAGTCTAGTATCTTGTTGTACCCTTTCACAACTGCGAGCACGCTTTCGTAAACGTACAAAATTGTCTTAGATTTCATAAACACCTGGAAGATATATAAATTATTAATAGATAGGTAAGTATTATCTTTATATTATTACCGATCGCAAAAATACTACATTCATCTGTTATTAAATCATAATATATTTTTTGTAGATATAATTTATAAATGAGTATGAATCAGGACAGCTAGATTTCAAAATATAACATATATTAGCGACTCCCCCTCGGCCCTGGCTTCTCTCGGGTGCATCCCTTTTTTATTCGTTTACATAGGTATATTATGTATACCTATACAGTGCCAAATTTTAGAAAAAAATATTTTAACAGTAGCCTAGTCGATGTCTATCAGTGTACTGTGTACATTTCTTCCAAATCCTTAAAGCCGTTTCAATGCAAAGAAGTAACAACATACACTTTTATTTTTTAATTTGTAGTGCTTTTTTTATTTATAATTATTTTTCCATAATTGTATATTATATGGAAGTTGTTTATCTATTTAAATTGTTTTATATAAAATACACTAGTGTTTAGACTTAAACAAATAAAAACACTAACATTGAGAACATTAGTGCATAGGCAAATTGAGCCTTAAAAACTAACTAAAAGCTAATCTACTCAGATGCCTTAATTTTTAAATGAGCTTAAAAAAGAAAAATATATTTTTCATATTTCGCAACAGAGTAGATAAACTACATTTTTAACCTGGTAAGCGTGAAGCGGAATGTCCAGACCAAGATTCTCCCAATGACTGGCCTCTCTACACAATTCTAATATGTTCCTGTGGATAAAACGTTGGACCAAATATTTTAATAATAAAATTATAATTTAATTTATCTTTTCCATCAATAAAACCATAACTGTATGGTAGTTTAATATAATATGTATTTAGACAGACGGTAGACGGTAGTGTTCCAAATGGTGCAAAAATCTGCCTATAAACTTATTGGATCGTAGGTTTGAACTTATAGGTGGCTAGTATGTACAGCTGCAGATCATAATGTCCTGGGTTCTGGGGCAAAATGGTTACTGACTTCTTACTTATTTTCCCACGAAATTTGGGAAGTTGATGGTATTTATACCAACCGTTTCCAGAGAATACGCTAAAATATCTGTCTTAAGCCTTGTCTCTGACCGATCGTGATAAGTTGTCGCCTTAAGTTTATTGTTACTTACACATCAATATTGCACTCCAAAAGGCCATGGTTTTCTGCACTTTTTCTCATTAGCGTCTTGTTCAGTCCTGCGGCACACTTCTCATCGACGTTATGCTAAAAATATTTATGGAATAAAAGATTTTTTTTTATTTCCTCATTCACAGCAATACACCATTGTATGTATGAACACCATGTTCAATAAAAATTTAGTAAGTTTATAAAAAAAACCTACTTCAACTCAATAGTAGGTATATAATAAACAAACGACGGAGAACATAGGTTCGATTTTACATAAAATAAATATTAAATATTAAAATTTGTATTGTACATTATGTAGGTGTTATAAAGTTTTTTAAAGTTCTAAATGGTCAGAATTCCATATCTTACAGTCCAAGAAATCCACAGCTCTCTGATTGCCACATCGATAGCACCGACCAACCTGTTCACGTGCATTATCACGTCTTCAGAGTTACTGCACGGCAATAGCCATACAGACGCGTCTGTCATCACCTGGTACCATGTGCAAAGATTAAATATTTAAAATTAGCTTTTTACGTTCCTTAGCTACAGATAAAAATGGAACTCTTACCTATAGTTCTTTACCATTTAACATATTCATTATTCATGTCCTTTCCGGTATTAAGAGTGCCCCTCGGATTCGGAGGAGCGGGATGACAAGATAATATTCTATCGTGAGTGAGAAGTATAGAGCGATAGATGCTTGACGTATTTAAGCGCCAAAACAGTTTTTAATTCATTATAAATTAAACAACCAATCGAAAAATGAAATTCGATAACTGGCGAAATACTTCTAGATTTCATGACAGATCAAAAACCCTACAAAAATAGTGAGCTGTTCCTAAGAAAAAAAGCAATATGTGTACAAAACATATATTTTTCAAAAAAAAAAAATTCGAGAAAATTTTCACCAATCATGTTTTCAAATTTGTCAATTCAAGATAAAACTCCGAAGTATCATTTCCCTAAATATCAAAGTTGTAACTTCCACAGATTCTAAGATAGATAACGACGTCTAGATACTGCCTGCACACTCTTAATGGAGAAACAATAAGCATTGTAGTGATATCATTTTCTTGAGTTATCAATGAAAACACGACAAAGAAAAATATATTTTGCGACTAGTATATTATCCTCTAACATACATGGACTTGAAAAGTAACCAAATGCTAAAAGGTTATTTACAAAAAAATGAAGTACTAACAATTTTAATGATCAAACCTTTTTCAGATAAACCAATCTATTCCTGCGCACACGCAGCAACACAGCTCGTCCAGCAAACGACGGCAGGTCGGCGGGGTGCAGCCCGCGGGAGGTCACCGTCTCCTTTTTAGCTTCCTGCACTTCGTCACTGAACATCGCCCATACCTGCTCTCAAGTATGTTACCGAATTAATACTGAACACATTTCTTTAGGATTTGAATGACTTATTTTAAGAATGGAAAAGATATTAATTGTCAATATTAAACATAATATGCAGGAAATACAAAATGATTGGGACATAGAGGAACTAACATATTGAGAAAGTTTGGCTCTCAAAACTTTTTTTGTTATTGAAATTTTATAGAAAACATACACCAGTACCAAAGTTTTTAAAAGCTCATGTTTCTTAATACTTGCCTCAGCAGTTTTTCTTTTAAAAATACGCCTAAGATTATTTCTTTTAGAATAATTATGTAAGGAAAATAGGGCCACAACTGCTTCTTCCACATGATTTACACCTTCAAATACAGATTCCACTAAGTTTTCAATGATTATCTGAAACATTTACAAAAAATGAGCTCGAAACAATACCTTTGTCAATGCCAGTATAAATAATTTGTTAGCTATTGGCGAGAGTAGAGCGTTATGATAACACGCACTTATACATAGTTGGATGATAGCAAAATAATTCAACTATCTACGATTAGCATTTTAAAGGTAAAAATAATATACCTCAATATCTTTAATAACCGTCCTAAACTGCAGTATATCATCATACCACGATGGCGCTTGTACGTCCAATATATTGTGAGCAACTGCTTTCACGTTATCCAAGGCATTATGAAACATGTGCTCAATTTGATCACATTTCGCTTCGAATTGATCTCCACGGGCACCTCCAAACATTGGCTTGCTAATTACTTCTAACTCGTCAATTCTAATGACACATGAAATAAAGTTATTATACCTACTACCTATCCTATTTTTATGTAATTTTATAAAAAACTAGCGGCTCACCCTCGCTTCGCTCGGGTTCGTCACTAGGTACGTTTTAAATAGATATAAATAGTTATAAGCCAGCGTTAACCATATACATTTTAATTATTTATTTCGTTAATTTTTCATTTTTTTCTTTCATAAGAACCTTCTCCTGACAATAACAAACACAACAAAAAAAATAGTTAAATCGGTCCAGCCGTTCACGCGTGATGGCGTTACCAAGGGAAATAGGCGTTCATTTTTATATATATAAGATATAATACCCTACTATAAAGGTTCATAGTTGTTGATAATTTGCAGATCAAATAATTTACTCAAGCTTGAAAAACACCCGTAGAAAAAGATTAAAGGATTTTATATACTGTACCTGCCAAATATAATCATGCAGTTACAGACATCTAACATATCAAAACATCTTTGAATGAATGAGTCAATGTAATTAAAAATGGAGCCCGTGTCCAATTCCCACGATCCAGGTTTAACCTCACTATGAGCTTCAGCCATTAAGTCATAAATTTCTCTATACATTTTACAGCAATCAATACACTTTGTGAATTCCCCTAATGCCTTCTTAGTCTGTCCACTAAAGAGCTCTTCTAATTTGATATAATTTTTGCAAAGTATGATGATTTGGTTGCTCAAAGCTTTGAATAGATTTGTGATACGAGTTTCAGAGTTATAGTATGGGGATTCCATCCATATAAATCTGAACAGATTGATGATCGTCGGCACATGCTTTGATATTTCATCCGGATCCACCACACACTCTAGTATTGCACAAGGTTGTTTTATAACTTGCAAATATTCTATATTAGAAGTGGCTTCATTAATTTTTTGCATGATTTCGTCGCACAATGACTGGAACTGATGTATGAATGTGGAATGTGTCGTAACTAGTATTTTTGTAATATGTTTAACTGCCGGATTCTTTAGTTGATGTATTAGTGCGCTTAAATTTTCATCTGTAACCAGTACAATCAAATTCCAGTTATAATTTGGTTATTGTTTGGTACCTACATCTTAGTATTTAATTAATATCAAGTGTCCTGTCTTCTAACCTATACATATAATAAAATTGTAACTAAGCCGAATCTGTACATAAAATATTTGTTGGAAAATCTTATTGAAATAGACATTATTATCAATACAGAGGCCGAATCGATAGTGTTTAGAATTTTGTCTGTCTGCCTGTCTGTTACCGCATCACGGAAAAACCACTGGAGGGATTTTGGCGAAATTTGGTATGATGATAGCTGGTTATCTGGGTCAACATATAGGACATTTTTTACCGCGGAAAAATATTTCATTTCTAAGAAAAAATACAAAAACTGCAGTGTAAGAGTTTACTAATATGTAAAACCTAAGATTTTGGTTTTTGGTAATCTGAACACGGGCGCAGCCGCGGGCAATGCTAGTATAATATAAAATTATATTAAAACTTTAAAAAAATATATTTTACTTTAAACTTACGTCTGTATACCCAAAAATCGTATTCATCACTAGGGCACAACAATTCCTTTTGAGAAGCTACAGATGCTTGGTCTTCTATACAGGACTTTATCTGATGAGTCCAATATACAACAACACCTTCCAGTCTTTTCACCAATTCTCGGTCGGTACTAGCTTTTTCAAATGAAAGATGTTGACCTTCTCGTGGTATATACAAAACGGTAAGGCCAAGCATTTTATAATACATATCTGTAAGCTTTGCTAGAAATGTATGTAATTGAGAACAAAATTCACTTTTGACACCTGGAAACATACAAATAATTGATAACTTTAACTTAAATTCTTTAAAATTTAACGTATAATTAAATTGAAGTAGATAATTACTTACTATCAGGCCAAGTAGTTATGGCAAAGAAATATGGTGCATACATCAGCTCTAACACATGAATCATGTTTGCTTCAACAGAATCAACAAACGTTCCGAAGACCACATCATCATGAAAGGTTTCTGCTTTAAATACTAAATCAGGTTGACGTAAAAAGTACATCATATCATAAACTGGGGAAAGAGGAATGTCGCAAGAGGCTTTCAGTCTGTCACCCTTAAAATATACGCAAAGTATTAAGGCTCGAGGTTCTGTGATCCACTCTTCAATGGCCTTTTTGGTTTCCTGATTCCAATCTTCGTCTCTTAGATCATACAATGTTGTCATTTTCATGACATAAGACACTAATTTCTCTAACTCTTTAGGTTCGTACACAGGTTTTACTGGTTGCTCAGCCAACTCTCTCTCTAACTTTGCTAGACGCTCTCGTTCTAAAAAATAAAAACTTAAACTTTATGTACTCTCCGAGACACGGAGATGAAACATCGCCAACTCCGAGCTATTACCTACTGAGAATTTCTTGACACAAATACTCAATGACTAAACTTGGTCTGACCCGGGACTCGAACCCAGGACATACGGATCTGTGACCGTAGATACTAGTAACTAGACCATCGAGGCAGTTGGATTACCTTTTACACCAATATATCTTACTTACCTCTATCCTCTTCAGAGTTATGGCTCAAGTCATCACTCCATGTGACTTTAACCCGTCTCTTAACATCTATTTCCGACATTATACCGTATCTTTACGTCAACTTTGTATTAACATTAACAGTAAACATTTAATTAGTCCATGTTTCTCGTTATACGGAAAACAAGAGACAGTTGAATATGACAATATTTTACTTATTATTTTTTAACGTTATTTACATGTTATCGTTCCAGTGCGATGTTAAATGTGTTAAAGAAGCAAATCGATTAAACGTTGCCAAGAGATTATAGTTAAGTTATTGAATTGGGACTACTTATTAATTCGATATTATTGGTAATATATAATTGAATAAAAAATATACATTAAATGCAATACTTATAGTAAAATACTGGCCATTTGATTTTTTTCTTATTGTTGGACAGATCAAACATGACATTAATGACATTTTATTGTAACAAACTGTGGTATGATTATAATATTTAAAAGATGAATATAAAAGTTAATCGTTTATATAATATAATTTAATTCAGTATTCTATCTAAATATAATCTTATTTTATCGATCTATCTCCCTCGTGTCTTCTCCATTGTACGTGATATTAGCGAGGTAATCTCTATTCAACTGGTACGCCTCCAAGCCATAAACAAGAAAATTGAATTGAATTGTATTCATATATGAGAACTATTTAAAATAACTGTAATATCATAAATGTAATTGTAAACAAATGTGGTTAGGTTAAAACACCGCCAACTTCCCAACTCCGGGCTGTTACTGAGACTTTTTTAACAGAAGCCCGGGACCGAACCCATGACCTAAGGATTTGCAGCCGTGCATGCTAGCCACTAGACCACCAAGAAAGCCGTCCGTTCTGCGTGTGATTCCTCACTGGACCTGCTCGATTGTGTTCCCAACCGAGTATGTATAATATAACATCTCTTAAGGAGTTGGCTAGTCTAAAAGATATTACCATGACCATGGCCTAAATCGGTCAGGAGAACAAAATGATATGCAAAAAATTTAAATGTTTTAGAATCAACTAGTACGAGTATGTCACGCCATGTGGCTGTATGGCGTGGGGCGTGCGAACTAAAGATGGCCGCGAGCGCGTGGCGGGAGTTCTTCGCGCGCTTTTGATCACTCAACTAATAATATCGTTGGTCATGCTGATATTTTGTTACAACGCATCTGTTAAAGTTATGTCTTTATTGAAGAATATTCATAAGGTTAATTTTATAGTTATTTTGCCTTTATTTTATTGACTCTCTTTCGCAGTGGCGCCATATCTGTAATAGTTAAAAATTGTGCATTTTGTTGTTGTTATAACTTTAAATTCGATTTTCGCAACATTTATATATTATCATTATATATTATATACTATGTAACTTTTATCTGCTGTGTGTAATAAAAAACAAATTCAATAATTTTATTAAATGGTGCCCAAATCATATGTGATACTTCGAAAATTAATAGCTATACACCTAGCATTGCCATGAGCAATCAGCAGACACTACCAATGCGCCCAAAAAATGAAAATAGCAATATGTACCTGTATCAGTAACTAATATAAGTATTTATTAGTTTACAGTATTTCTATTCTACGCCTTGATACTTCTACAAGCATATTGTATGAAGTTGCACTTCACTAGTGGTTTCCGGTTGCTAAGCTGGTTGCTACGTTGTCCACATTGGCCTAGAGCAGGACCAGTAACCAGGTTATGGTTGATCAGTGGTTGCTTGGTTGCTGCCAATGGTTTTCTTGTTCACGCTGCTTGTAAGAGTACTTTAAAGGTTAGAAATCATATAAAATTGTTTTTTTTCTAATGATTTGATGTCGGCCGGAAATCAACGTTACCTGTTATTCAGCATTTTCATTTTAATGAAAATATTTAAGAAACTGACAAACAAGTCGATACTCAGCCCAATAGACAACGGCATACATATAGATAAAGAACATCTACTTATGCATATAATAAAATCGTAACTAAGCCGAATCTGTACACTGAATATTTTTTGGAAAATGTTATTGAAATAGACTTTATTATAGATACAGAGGCCGAATCTATAGTTTTTTATAATTTTTGTTGTCTGTCTGTTACCGCATCACGAAATTTGGTGTGGTGATAGATGGTTATCCGATATAGGATACTTTTTACCGCAGAAAAATATCTCATTTCTGAGAAAAAATACAAAAACTGCAATGTAAGAGTATAGGTACTAATATGTAAAACCTAAGAATTTGGTTTTTCTCATCTCAACGCGGGCGGAGCCGCGGGCAATGCTAGTATAATATATAAAGAAAGAACTTTGAATTAACGATGTATAGACATAGAGCAGTATAAATAGAGAAAATGTTAACGAATCATCGACAATGCGCAGTGAAGGACAAATTTTCAAAAATCCATAATATTATATTACGATTCAGAAAAATTTAAACAAAAAACTTCGATTTTGAAAAAAATATATATTAGTCTCCGTAAAAGTTGTGAATATTTTAGGCTCTCATGAGGGAACTGTCCTCGTCACTTCGCACCGGCATCGCCCACTATCTCACTGAACCATCGTGGAAGAAACTTATAGACACTATGCAGGTTGTGTATTTGAAAACTTTATTAACTTTTAATTTTTTATATAGTAAATTAAAATAATTTTTATAAAGTAAAATGTAATATGTTTATATGTATGTATGTTTGTATATGTGTATATTTATATTATTCCCTCAACGACCGCGGACTCGCCGGCGTTACAGTTAACAATAGATTTCTTAGAAATTTAATTAATTTCTTAGACATTTACCTGGAGGCTGGAGGTGTTAAAATTGATATTTGTAGTTTGTACCTACACCGTACCTCATTATTATTTTTATATTTTCTCACGCTTGAGGGTTTCTGGTAGTGATATCTTAAAGAGATAAGTCATCCTTTGTATATATGGTGTTTGTTTTCACTTTTATGTTTTTTTCTGGTACATAAATAAATAAAACACTGTTAGTATTTAATAAGTCAAAAATTCAGCTTTCTCGCAAAATATCGACGTAACGTGAGTTAGAACACCAGAGGATCAACTACACTTTCATCGTCTTTTTATTGAAATTTTCACCATTATTGAAATATAGAGACAATTTTACTTTCATTACTCACCAAGCACTAATATTTATTCATTTATAGTAAAATATTATTTAAACCAGCAGAAATTTAAAGTATATATATCTAAATAAGTTTTCACCAAAAATTCTATAATATTTTAGTTTTTCTTGAGTTTTTGTTTCGTTTTCTTAAATGGGTCTAAACTCCATTATTTATTCAATATTTACTCATAAAAGTATCCCACTCTCGATCCAATATGAATACCCTTTAAGTTAAAAACGTAACAAAATAATGTACATATATGAAATCTAAGGTGGAGCTAGGTTGCTGCGGCGTGGAGCATCCGAGCGACTGGCACCAAATACCCTGGATCAATATGGACTTCCTTAACGAAGACTCGGAGTTGGTCATGAAGTGAGATATTGTTTTTTTTTTATTTAATATTACCGATTTATCCTTACTTAGTGTACCTATCTTGTGTGCCCCTTTTGTATTTATAAAAAAATGAAAAGTTTAAATGAATCTATTGTCACTATTCATATTCACGTAGTAATAGGGCACGATCAAAATATTTTTTGCATGGAATACCTGGGCCCCGAACACAAAGCTTCGCTCGGTGCAGGCGCTTTCAATAGGCCCATAAGCGATAAAGAAAATACCACAAAAATGTACAAGATGGCACTATATGACATTGTCAGCATGAGAGCAGATAGAATATGCTCTAATAACAATGGCATAGTTATAAAAAATGTTAATTTTTAAAAACAAAATGTGTCTTTTATATAAAACCAATATAGATAAACTTAAAAGCCAAACCTTATCTAAATATAAATTTGATCCAAATCGCTAATCGTTTCTGAGATACAACAATAAATCTATACATATAATAAAATTCTGAGTCGAATCTGTACATTAAATATTTTTTGGAAAATCTTATTGAAACAGACATTATAATCGATACAGAGGGCGAATCTGTAGTTTTTAGAATTTTTGTCTGTCTGTCTTTCTGTCTGTCTGTCTGTTACCGCATCACAGAAAAAGCACTGGAGGGATTTTGATGGTATGGTAATAGCTGATTATCCGGGTCAATATATAGGATACTTTTTACCGCGGAAAAATATCTCATTTCTGAAAAACAATATAATAACTGCGATGTAAGAGTACCTATACTAATATCTAAAACCTAAGAATTTGGTTTTTGGTCATCTGAACGCGGGCAATGCTAGTGTATATGTACAAGAATTGTTCATTTGATATTACAAAATGTTGGCATAAGAGAACGCTATGTATCTACGCTAAAGATTTTTAGAAATGATGACTTAAAACTTGTTTTTACTATACTGCAGCATAACAAGTGTAGATGGTAAAGTGCTACTGCCAGTCTCGCCGTACTCGTGTTGCTCTCCTTACGTGTTGACTCCGTGCTACCACGATCCTTTACAGCAGGTATTCTTTATCACCTTGGCCTCACTTGGGATCAACTAGGTATATCACCAAGTGTTGCATGTCGTTTTTAACCCATTTTTATTTTGTATTGTATCCATATAATAATTTGATACCATTTAGCTGGTCTCCCTATGGAGCCAGAAGGTTTTGACTGAGTTGCACCATATGTTGAGTTTGCAACCCAGTCGAAACGTCGGGAGTAAGGAATTTTGTCACGAATTAAATGCGTAAGCGCTTAACTCCTGTTGTATCAAAATGAAAATAGAAAAAGTTATACTAGTAAAATTTTCGTTTTTTTTAATGTTTTTATAAAGGCTCACACAGATATACACGCGAGCGCGAATGCGCACACACACTCACACTCATGCACGCACACATGCGCGCACACGCACACTCGGTCCACTTTGCTATCACAGAAATACTAGGAGTACCTCGCATGTTACACTTCGCGCCTCCCTGTGAGTCTCTTGAGTTCACGCCCGGCTTAGTTGCCGGACGCTACTGAGCCTTCCGCCGCGATAAGTAAACTTAAAGGAAGATAGCTTTTAACCATTACTTTAGATTCCTTTACTTTTTTAAATTATCTATACTAATATTATAAAGAAGCAGAGTTTGTTTGTTTGTGAGCTAATCTCAGGAACTACTAATCCGAATTCGAAAATTCTTTTGACATTAGATAGCCCGTTTCTTGAGGATGGCTAAAGGCTACAATGTCATCATGCTAATATCCAAGAGAGCGGAGCAATAATCGTAGATGTCAACAAATCGGGCAGACTTCCATACATTATTGTAAAGGGAAGGGAAAGAAGAGTTTGTTTTGTTGTACTTTGTATGCGGGCGAAGTCGCGGGTTGTGCTAGTTTAATTATAAAATAGTGTACACTCTCCCGCCCAGTGGTCACCGCGCGAGGCGCCGCGCGCATCGCTGCAGGCGCGCGCGTGCCTGGCCGCGGTGCGCGCGCCGCTCGCGCGCGTCGCGCAGGCGCTCTACTTGTTCAGCGTGCTCGTGGTGTTGCTGCAGGTTTGCTTGCAACTTTTTATTTATACGAGTATTATAATTCATTATATTGATATGTCGGCTTATTCCTATCTTTATTGTATGTAGATTGTTATTAAGTTTTTTTTACACAGTGTAGCCCAGTGATAACACGCTTGTTTGGAAAACCAAGTGAAGCGGGCTCAAATCCCGGATCGCGCACGTCTGATATTTCAACGTGTGAATCATTTTCAATATGATTACCTACCACTTGTTTTGCGGTAAAGGAAAACGTCGTGATGAAACCTGCGTATTTTAAAAAATAATTGAAATCTCCGAAAGATTCGTGAAGTCTGTCCAAACCAAAAATCAAAATAAATCCGTGAAAAAATCCGAAAATTTAGTTTTATTTAAGAAAAGTTTCATGTTAATTTGTTATCATATTTATCATTTAACATATCATCCACACATATTATAATTATTTAATAGATTAGTTTAAATATGAATTTATACAAAAATATTCTACATTTATCCACACAGGCAGTAATAGTGGTACTGACGCAAGTGGTACGCAGCGGCGCCCTGCAGGCCGTCGCGCGCGGCGACTGGACCGAACACCATCACGTACCAGAAGTACTTATCTCTCTCTTTCTATTTCTCGTTGCAGTCTGTTTCTATCTCTCTCCCTCTCCTACTCTTTCACCTATATATTAGGATGGCACAAAAAACCGATAATTTTTTTCGTGTCTCGTATGAAATTATGTTAGTTTTTCATGTTTTAAGAAGACTATTTAAAGATCAAGTCGAAAAAATTTTTTTCGGGTCGCTCAAGAGTTTTAAAAATTCTTAAAATAGTGATTTTTTTTATTAATAATTTTTTTTTTACTGCGGTTAAATTTAGTACTTAAAAAACTAGTAACTTCTAATCAAAGTTACAGCAAAAAATATTGATTTTTAAAGATCGCTCAGAACTTATGAACATTTTTAAGTTTATTGCCTTTGATGTTTCCGAGCAATTTTTTAAAATAATATATGTTTTAAAATAGTATACAAATCAGAATTTGTATACTGAGTGACAAGTAAATAAATAAAAATAGCTAACGGATTTTATTATAATAAAGGAAAAAATTAAATAAATTAACATTATTCTTTCAAGGGGAAGAGAACTAATTCTTAAAAAATACAAACAAATATAGTATTATTTAATATTCATATGTTATAATTAAAAATTGTAAGAAAAAGTTTTTTTTTGCTCAGATGTTCCAAAGCATGTATTTTATTTTAACCTTGGATTTGTTTATTAGTTCGTGCTTTTGTCTATAAAGAATGCGATAATTTAATAACATCTAAGCAAAATGAAGTTATTTTCGGTTAAGTTCGTAAGAAATGCAAAAACATTCCTAATTTTACTTTTATAAATCATAAGTGTTCTTTTTGGAATATATATTTTTTTTAATTACTAATAGCTTACCCTTGTATCGTTCAGGCGCTTCTCTAGGTGTCAAACAGTGTTTTACTCCAGCTCATTATCCATCTCCTTACTAAATTTCATCAATAACCGCCCAGCCATTTTAGCGTGGAGAAGTAAAATTTACATATACAATTACAGAAGTATAACAGTCAGATTTGCTTTTTCTTTGTTTTTATAGCAAATGGGATCGAACGTGAGCGTAGAAGCCCGTGCACTGTCGCTGCGGCGCCGCGCGCGCCGCCTGCGCACGCGCAGCTACCCTTATTTGTCATAAAAGTAAGATTGTTTCCTCAATAAAGTTTTTACTTAAATGTTCATATCAAATTAAAGTATACTTTATTCAAATAGACTTAAAACAAGCACCTTTGAATCGTCACTTCTTTTCGTCATCGTCATTTTTTAAATTTAAATTAAAATGTTAGTATGTATATAAGTCTGTGAGGACTGTACCACCGGCTCGGAAGGCAGTTCTGCTGAGAAGAGCCGGCGAGAAACTCAAAAGATGCTCTTTTGATATAATATTTGTTTACAATACAGACAGGCAAACAAACATTCTAAAAACTATAGATTCGGCTTCTGTATCGATGATAATGACTATTTCAAAAATATTTTCCAAAACATATTTATATAATTTTATTATATGTATAGATATGATTGGAGATGAGATTCTGGATTTGGGAATCAGGTGGGGGTAGAAGTGTTTTTTTTTCTCTGTCAAGTAGTCTTTTGTGTAATATTAACAATTTCATATAAAAAAATGATCATCATGCCACTATTGGGCTCAGTACAAATGGCTGCGCAGTGATAAATCTTTGAGTTTGGTCTCATTTGATTCGTTATGAAAAAACACCTACATTACAATTTGTCAAAACCTTTTTTTAAAACGATTATTAATCTATACATATAATAAAATTGTAACAAAGTCGAATCTGTACATTTAATATTCTTTGGAAAATCTAATAGAATTTTTGTCTGTTTGTCTGCCTGTCTTTCTGTCTTGTCTGTTACCGCATCACGAGAAAACCACTGGACAGATTTTGATGAAATTTGGTATGATGATAGCTGGTTATCTGAGTCAACATATAGGATACTTTTAACCGCGGGAAAATATCTCGTTTCTGAGAAAAAAATACAAAAAATTCATTGTAAGAGTATAACTAATATGTAAAACCTAAGAATTTGGTTTTTGGTCATCTGAACGCGGGCGGAGGCGCGGGCAATGCTAGTTTTATGATAAAAGTAATATGAAAAATATATTTTTTTTATATTCAATAGGTTTTTTTTCGAGAATTGAGCCCAATGTTTTTTTTATTATTTCTTTTCGTTTCAGATAATTAATTTTATTATACAAGATAAAAAACAGTGTATAAGAATTGTACAAATGTATAAATTAAATATATTATATAAATGTAAAGGATAAGTATGGGTTGTAAATAAAAGAGCAATAATCAATGCAAGGCTTTATGTTCCTCACCTAAGTTAAGTAACAATGCGTGGATATAGAAAGCCATATTTGTGCGGCGCCATTTTAAATACAGATAAATAATGACATAATTGGCGTCTCCCCGTCTCTATACTGTTACAAATATACAAAAATCACGTCGTATTTACACGCAACGACAGGGGCTAGCACCAGTCGAGATTGGAATGTCGGACATAATATTATAAGCCTCGGACACTACGTTTTGCGAGAAAATGTAGCTGTGAGGCTTTGACAGCTGTCACTGTCGAGTGACAGTGACGTCCCGCCGAGAGGGGCGGCGGGGCCACAGATTATATAACAACACTAAGCCTAGTTAAATAAGACGAAACCTATAATTTAATTAATTAAAATTGTTACATAATCTGTGGGGGGGGGGGGTTTATAGGGAAGGGGTTGTTGTTTATAGGGGTGGAGGTCCATGGGGATAGCGTAGTACGGGTTGTAGTGAGGGTCCGCGGCAGTCCCCTGGTGAGAGGGGTACCAGGGCGGCAGCGCCCAGTAGGAGTAACAGCAGCGCCTGGAACGGGAGCGAGGCTCGCGCCACGCGACTGACGAAGCGAAGGCCGCGCTGTACGCTGCTTAACTGTTGCTGTTCATGCTCTTCTGTCAGTGACCTGGTGATTTGTTGGTTGTTTAGTGTTTTTGATTTTAAAAATGGTGGGTTTTATTTATTTTTTTAAATGCATAGGTTTAAAATTAAACCCTGAACATGGACGCATATTAATTTTAAGTGATAAAAAAGTAATGATTTTTTAAGTAGTACGAGTATTATACATTGAACAACTATTTTTTTTTAATATGTACATATAACAATGAATACAGCAACTCGCGTAAGGCAGTGCTAGGAAATGATTGTGTTAATTAATAATGATTATTGTTATTCAATTTACTTTTTTTTTTAAATATTTATAATGTTTTTCTTTAGTAAACATACATTCTTTAGACAATATCATATTTATAAATATAAGCTCCTGAGCCAATTACACATTTTTTTTTAATTTTTCAAAATAAAACATACAATGTGGTAGCAAACTCAACATATACTAAGCTAGTGTAAGACTATAATACGTGTGTACTCACTCGTCTAATGGCGGCAGCGTCGGCGGCTCATCCTCCATCAGCTAAGGACAAGAGAGCTAAGGTCAAATACTGTGCAAAGCTGCTACTTGTGGGAGACGCTACTTTCAATTATGTAACAAAAATTTTGAAAATTTGTCTTTCGAAATTTTCATTTTTCAAAATTTGAAAACTTAAATTTTTCAAATTTTGAAAATTTAAATTTTTCAAATTTTGAAAATATTCTCTCTTTTGAAAAAAAAAAGTAATCGCCTTTTTAACAAGGGAGTATACCTATATCATAATATATTCTTTTACAATTCCTATATTTATTGTAGATATCTATTTAGTGGGTTTACTTCAAAATTTACATTGTAAATTGCTGGTACATTATTTATTTCTTATTACGTATTGGTAGAATACAGTGATCTTCGCATATTATTAATTTTTATTGGATTTAAGAAAAAAATATCGCAATATATATAAACTTTTCATATATATATATATATATATATATATATATATATATATATGTGTGTGTGTGTATATATGTATATATTAAAAGCATTTACCGGTCGAATAAATACCAATAATATGCGGTCTATCTATTATAAAAGCTTGCTTGAGTTTTTGGCTTTTTTCAGTGCTTTGTGTAAGCTGTGTAAAGCAAATTAAGTTACTTATTTTTTATTATCGCTGCTATTTTAATATAGTTTTATGTGTAACTTGAATATATGTATATGTGTTATAGTGAGTTGAAGTGGTCGCAAGTATTGAATTTTACATTTATGTATTTTGCATGTAAACATAAAAAATACAATGTACGTTCATTAGTAATCGTTTTACTATTAATTCCGTGTTGTATATTGTGTTAGTCTACAAGCAGATTTAATTTTTGTGTATATTATTTGACACATTATTATATGAATAATTAGTAATAAGTATTATGTTAACATAATGCTCGTTAACTTTGAATATTTGTATGTGATAATTATATTATATGTCAATCTGTGTTACCACACAAGAGTCATGTGTATGATATCCGAGTATATGATTATAAATATTGTAAGTAATGTCTTGTGTCATCATATTTGTGTCATATCACATATTTGATATTCATGTGACATTCGAGGGCTATGTGTGATACTGGTATTTGTGTGATATTGTCGTAGTGTATGTTTATGCATGCATGCTTGCTGTGTGTCTGTGCATGTGTGTGTGTGTGTACCTGCGCGGCGGTGGCGGCGGTGGCGGCGGCGGCGGCGAGCGCGGAGCCGTGCGCGGGCGAGCGCGCGAGCGCGGCGCCCAGCTTGAGCGCGTACACGCCCGCCAGCTTGCGCAGGGACTGCAGGCGGAGACGGAGTTCTCCCAATCTGTAAATTTAATTGTTTTGCTGTTAATTTTTTTTTTCTTTTTAATAATTTATTTACTCGTATATTAATTTATCCAATAAATGTATTTCACTTTTTAGTTTCCTATTATCCTTTTATTTATTAAACTGATTGTTTTACAATACATTTATACTGTGTTTAATTTATTATGTTAATTAAATTTGTGTTACTTTTGTCGTTTCTGTTGCTAATCTTAATAAATAAACTATTTATTGTACTAGTTTTTGCTCCTTGCTTGGCTCGAAGTAGGACTAATAAATGTAGGGAATTTGTTGATGTAAGTTGTCTCGATTCAGATTATATCAATTTTCACATTCATTCATTTTATAATTATCTTTTATTTGATGCTATTATACATTATAGGTAACGTATTTCGTTAAGTTAAATAGCGGTTGAAATTAATTATAAATCAACTAGCGGCTCACCCTCGCTTCGCTCGGGTTCGTCGCTAGGTACGTTTTAAATAGATATAAAAAGAAAAAATCTTTCTTTCTCACATTTTAATTATATGTTTTAATACTTACCTATTCCGGACTAAGAGAAATCCAAAAATTAAAATATCATAAAAATTGGAACGCGGTCGAACGGGATAAAAAGTATCCTATGTCCTTCTCCTGGCTCTAAACTACCTCCCTGCCAATTTTCAGCTAAATCGGTTCAGCCGTTCTTGAGTTATAAGCGAAGTAACTAACACGACTTTCTTTTATATATATAGATATCTTCGATATCATTATTTTTAAACCTGTGAACTACAATCGGCAACAAAATTCATTCATTCAGACAACCATTACTTAGTGGATAAACAGCACTCTTCAATATAATTTCCGTGGTGTACTTATAGACTAAAACTGCACGCAGAGTAGTTACGAACAAAAGGTACAAATATGCTCATATACCTATATGTACTTATGTGTGTACACGTACGTCACTGCGCGTCGCCTGCATCGTGCTGCGCGCGTGGTGTGTGCGTGTGTGTGCGTACCTGCGGCAGACGTCCTGCGCGTCGTCGGTGAGCAGCGCGGCGGCGTCGCGCAGCGCCAGCACGCGCGGCTCGGCGCGCGAGAGCTCGTCGCGCAGCTCGCTGAAGCGGCGGAAGTCGGCGCGCAGGTCGGCGGCGGCGCGCGACAGCCGCAGCGGCTCGCGCGCTCGCACCGAGCGCTCCGCGGCCGACAGCTGGCTCACCAGCTCCACCACTGGGGGATTTACCACGTTAATACATACAAATCTTTCCTTAGTATTTATGTATGTATGACATGTTTATGTATTCAGCCCTTTCTAATGTCGTGCCTTTAATACGAGGGGAATCAAGTCCACCATGCTGGCCAAGTGCGGGCTCATAAACTTCACATGTCATAGAAATCTCGCTAGATTCTCTCAAAATATAGAGGTTTTCCCACGGTGTTTGCCTTTACCGTAAAAAAGTGGAAATGATTTTGGAAATGATTCACATAATAACATATAAGAGACGTGTCATGCAAGACCCGAGATTCGAACCCGGTTCACTCGGTTTCCCAAACGAACTTATTGCTACTGCTTCGCACTTAATATTTATATATGCAATAAATAATTACATTAAGATTCAAAAACATTCATATCTTATTTCTCTTCAAATTCAAAATTCAAATTCAAAATATTTTATTCAGCATAAAATTATTACAATTTTTTAGTGAACGTCATGAGTCAACCAGTTTGGAAGGGAGAAGCCTCAGACCTGAGAAGAACTGGCGAAAAAACTTCAAATAGAACATTATACAAATATTCACTTTAAATGAAACAATTGTATATAGGTAAAGTGATGAATGAAAACTCACCAATATCATGAAACTCCCTATTGTTGACGAGCGCGGCCTGCAGGCGCGCCTGCCAGGCGGCGGCGCGCGCGCAGGCCGCGTCCCAGCGCGCGTTGGCGGCGGCGAGGCGCTCGCGCACGCGCGCCGCGTCCCGCGCCGAGCGCGCGTGCCGCGTCACGTGCGCGCCCACCACGTTCAGGGACACCACCAGCGCCTTGTGCGAGTCCAGGTCCAGGAGGAACTCGCGGTGGTCCTACGGTGGACAGACACGGTTTGTGATAAGATATGGCATGTATGGTTTGTATGTGTTCAGCCCTTTTTAACGTCCCGTGCGAGAATCGGGATTTGAACCCGCTTCACTCAGTTTCCCAAGCGAGCGCGTTACCACTGCCTTTACTTGTTTGTGGGTAGTTACTATCTCATGACCAAAATAAAACCGCAAATAAATCCATAAAAAATGTTACATTTAAAATGTTAAATGTTCGTGTAATCTAGTAGTCTCTAAAAAATTATTACGATAAGCTATTTTTTTGTATCTATTTGACAAAACAGAATATAATAAAAAATTACCTAATTATTAATCGAAAAATAACATTAATCGAAATAATAATTTCTTAATTGAATTTATTAATTCTATTTCATTGCCAAAGCAATGTTAATACCTAGCAAATAGCAGTCATTATATTACAAAATAGATGAAATTTATAGATTTTTTTTATTAATTTCAAAACAAAACCTAAAAAAATACAAATTTATAACATAACCAATAAAACAACATTAACAATAATAATTCTCAATTAACTCATACCTGTATTGTGTCTTCTAGAGCGTCATATTGTTCCGGCGGGTCGACTCTCGCCTCGTCCGTTGCTTCAGCGAATTGCAGCCATTGTTCTAATCGCCAGAGATCGTTGTCTAGTTGCTTCCAATTTCGGTCCGAACAAAGTGGACACGTGAGACGACCAGATTCACTACAAGAGACAAGCAACTTCTAAGACCAACATTTTTGTAAATAATGTAATATAATATGAAATGATATTTGAATGCAACGAAAATGTCTTCACCATTGTTGATGTAAAGCTATTTGAAAATTTTAACACAAGTTGTACTAGGTACAGTAAATTTGTAGTAAATTATTAATTCAATTTTAATTATATTTTATTAATTAAATAATGTAATAAGTAAATATAATATAATAATATTTTACTATAAACAGAATACGAGAATAATTTTTAGTATTGACATGTGAAGCTAAAATTAGTTTATTGCTATTAAAATATTTTAATAATACAAAATCATGCATATTTAAACACAAAACAACTAAGCTTTATGATCTACAAAATCACTTGCCACAAAAAAATAAATTTTTACTAAAATAAAAGAAGGAAAAAATAATAAAATGAAAATTTTGTGTATTCAAGTTTTTTTTGTGTTTTGTGACAAGTGACGTGCCAGTGCATATAACAAATACAGTGCAGCCAAATCTAGTGTAATTAGAAATTCGCTTACAACCTATCATCCAGTTAATTAAGTGCAATCTAAAGTGATACAGCAATTACAATTAAGTGCTACAAATTGTGAAAATTAAAAAAATATATATCCTACAATAATTTTATTATCTAGATATTTGATTAGTATTTAAGTCAATATAAATATATATTTTTAGTTTCATATTCAATACATCTATAAAGTCCATAAAAAATTTTTTTAATCTATTAAGTGGATTTAGAACTAAATTTTATTGACAATACATTTATTATTATTATAGGTTGTGAGCGAATTTCCTTAGAATAAATTAGGAAGCGGTACTCACTGTTCGCACGTGAGAGCGTACGACGCGGAGTGGGGCAACCTAGGACCAAAAACGACGTTTATTATCGCATGCCAGCGAGATTAGACAAGATGACATTCTACAATCGCTATAGCTAATACAAAACTAAAAAAAAAACACATGAAATTGACAGATCTAAGCGTCAGAATATGTCATTCCCATACATTTTTGGTTTTCTATTAGCGATATCGTTTGTAGAAAGTCAACTAGTATAAGAGGGTGAGTTAACAAGCGATCGACACTTGATAACTTTATAAACATTTTATTTAAAACATATAAAATCTTTGAAAATTTTTGACGGGGCTCAACAAGTCATTTGTAGTTTTAAGATATACCTAAGATTATATTGTTATTAGTAAGCTTAATCGAAGTCTATTGTTATATTTTTTGGCAACTATAAAAAATTATCAGTTGGGACGAAGTATTGTGGAATACAATATTGTATTAAAGAGTTATAAAAAAAAACAAAATAGTTAATTCAGTTACAAAGAAAGTGTTTAGTGCTAATTTCTGTTAAGTGGAAAAGGAAGCCCGCCACCAAACGTGCCTGTGCGTCTACAGTACATTGCCATACATAGCGAAATTTCCCATATTCAAAAATTTCGTCTAAAAATCTTTAGAAATACAGTCTTTACATTGTTTAGAACACGAAAACCACATCAATTATATCAATTATATATATAAAAACTCACCTCAAGTTGTTTATTTGTAGTTCGCGTTTCTTAGCTTGCGTTAGAAGATCTTCGTATCTCAAAGACAACGATTCTACTTCTTTTAACATAGCTTCTTGTTCTGTGGCGTCACATTCAGTTAGCAATAGTTCTGATAAATGCTTGGCTAATTCTAATGTTTGTTCAGGTTTTGCTCCAGCTTTAGCTATTTCCTTAGCAGCATTCGCTAATTCATCACTTTTCGCATTTTCCTTTACTTCTTGGAGTAATGCCGTTCTGAGTGCTTCAAGAGACTCGGATGTTTCTTTAACAGCCGAAGCCAGTTCATTTCGATAGGTCTCTTTGGATGTTAGTGTGTCAACTTGTAACGCTGCGTCGGTCTCCCATTTCAGTGTGTCGACCTGTATGTAATTTTATTGTTATTTTCTACTCTCGATATACTTTGTTTTTAATAAACTAAGCAGTGTTAAGTAGCACGAAATTACTTGGTCTATCTATATTAATAAAATCTGAGTGTTTCATATGAAATTATCTATATAAAAACCATCTATTCCTAACGCCCTAATTAATCCGAAGTGGGCTAAAATGTTAGTCATCAGTCAATATTTTATAACTTTAAAAACGTTAAAATAAATAATTGAAACTTTATAAGTATTTTGAAATTTATATCCGTATCCTTTAAGTATTACGTATTAATTCACAAAAATAACCGCCCGAATAAACCCTCTTAAATTAAACAATTCGATCAAACAAAACAATTTAGTCAACAAAAATAACCTGCACAGCAGAGTCGACGTCGCCAACAACTTCAGCACGAGCCAGGTCGAGCCTCGTCCTCACGTCCGCGTAGAGCGCGCGGTACTCTCCCACCATGTCCGAGACCCCCGCTATACTTGCCACTGACGCCGACAGACGATCTGCCTCGTCTACTAATGAGGAACACTCTCGCAGATCTTCTTCCACACCCTGATATCAATTGGGATTTAAGAGTGTTATTGCAGTTTTCAGTCAAAGGAAATCGATGTATAAATATATTGGGTCATTAGCACACAGCACCATCTAGTTCCATGTAATATAAACACCCATGACTGGAGACAAGCATTCGTGCTCACACAAAAGAATGCCCCCAGCGGGACTCGAACACGCAACCGCTGACACAGCTAATAGGGTACTACAAACTAAACCAAACGTGTCGCCAAAAATGTATGTTTACACATAGTTGATATATACGTAAGTATGACACTAATATTATAAATACGAAAGTTTATGAGTGTGTTTGTCACTTGTTTACTCAGTAACGAATTAAAGTGAAAGGAAAGTTGGAGCGAAGCCGCGGGCAAAAATTATTGGTTTAATACAACTTTAGTGACTAATATTACTACTAGTAGTCAAGAAATCATAATAATATGTAATTGTAAATATTCAAATTATATCTAAAAACTAGCGATTCGCTCGATTCGCCTGTAGACAAACAAAAACAAATCTATCCCACGGGAACTGTACATTTTTCCGGGATAAAAAGTAGCCTATTTGTTATCCTGATGTATGAATTATATTATTGTAAGGTTTCATTAATATCCCATCAGTAGTTTTTGTGTACTAAGCTTATAAAAGTTTCTATAGTTTTTTAACTTTAATTTTCCGATATGAAATTATCTTAAATGTTGACCGGGGATATAAGCTACCACCATGCAAAATTTCATTTAAATAGGTCCAACAGTTTCGGAGAGCCCGTACAAAGAGAAAAAGAAATAAAATAAATGAAAAAAAAACTGAATTTGTTCTATTTCTCTTCTTACATCCCCCTGACTTGGTTTTTAGCATTTTTTTCTATGTACAGACATTCGACCTCTACAGTTTCATTATATGTATAGAAAATTTGTTTTTCTGAAAGACACATACATGAATACATGTAAATTATGTATGTATATTTAATTACATTCCGATCAGTGTACATCATAGTGCAAACGTTAGGGGAATCATGTCGGCGAGTCAATAAACTGCGTGTCTATCTAAGGTTATCTCACTAATGAACTTGCAACTTTCGCTTTAATAATTATGCAAAATTGTATAATTATAATCTATTTCAAGTAAACTTTTTAGAAATAAGATTTTTTATGATAAAATTAACACTAATTAATACGAGATTAATAAATATTTTTTATAAGAATTAAACACTTACGTCTAATTCCTTAAGAGTTGCGACTTTATCTGTGGGTGCAGGCGATAGATGTAGAGCCCTTGTCAGTCTAACATCTGCTTCGGCCAGAGCCACGACAGCTTTTCCATGAGCTGCTACAAACTGCTTGTGAGCATCTGCACCGGCAGCATCCAACCGCCCACGTAACTGTTGCCACTTCCTCACTGAAGACCGAAGTCGTGATGCATCATCGGCTGCTGAACCTCGAACCTCCACACCTCTCGCCGAGACAATGCGACTATACGCGTCCTCTAATTTGTTAATATCCGACTCTAAACCATCCAAGTCTTTGAGAACACTCTTCGATATACTCTCGTCTTCTGGTTCACCGCGTTGTTTACGTGTTTCGATCTTTTCCACCCGTTTTTCTATTGCGTCCAATTTCTTCTCCAATTTTGGTAATAATGAGTTCACCAATTCAGCGGATTTGCGGATCTCTTTTAACGCTTTTTTACGTTGTTCGGACATATCACAGATGTTTTTCCATTTCTTTTCGACGATGTCAACTCCAGTGCGCAAGTTTCGTAAATCAAAGTTGCCTTTGAGTACGTCAGGGTCATTAAACACTAGCTCACAGTGGTTCAGCGTTTTGCCAACATCTCCACTCTCGTTCTCAATGCTCTTATGTATTTCGTCACGTTCTTGGAATTTGGCATCTACGGCTTTGGTTGTAAGGTGTTCTAATACAACAGATGTCGTGAGACTGGATTCTATTGTATGTAATTTAAGTCTAATTTCTGTTAAACGTTCCTCAAGTTTTGAAATAGTTTCTAGTAATTCGTTTATTTTGGCTATTCTATTTCTTCCCGTTTCTTGTAGTTTATGCCATCTTTCCTGTATATCTTTCAGTTGTTTAAGTGTACTTTTACTATATGATTTTTCGTCTTTTTTGGACAAGTCCACTAAAGTGTTTCCGGTTTCAATAAGCCACTCAAATTCGCGTTCTTTAAGAGCAGTTTCTGCTTGAATATCAGACGTTATCCTTCTAATTAAATCCTGTGGATCGAATGCTCCAATATCACTAGTAGACGTTGTAGTTTCTAGACGAGATTCGAGTGTCGTCATCCATTCACTAAACCTAGAGAGCCTTGAGTCAAATACGGTGTAGATTTCTAACCTTTCTTGTAGTCTATGAATTATTATTGATAACTGATGTTCTAAATCAGCACGTTGTTGTCTTAACTGCCATACTTTTTGGTTAACTATTCTTATATCCTGAGGACTAAGGCATTCCTTTAATTGTTCTTGGATGACGCTAAGAGCTTCAATTTGTGTTTCAGTCTTATCAATCTTAGTTCTTAAATCGGTGTATTTATCTACAGCCTTTTTTATCTGTGGCCTAGATAACCTGTCTTCATCGGAATATGACATTATATCACCTTGCGTTTTGGTGTACAATTTTTGTAAATCACCAGTTAAGGTTTCGTATTCGCCAATAAGACCGAGTATTCGAGTAAGGAAGTCGCGCCATGTGTCGAGACTAGCTTGCAAATTGTCCACCCTCTTAACGATTCCTGCATATTCCATTCGTACTGAGGCTGCATAGGTTTCTTCAGTGAATACGAGAACTTTCTTGAGGTTTTGTAAAAGTTTGTCCGAAAGTTTTCTACCTTCGGGCAATTTGTCGGCGAGATTCTGAATTTTGGCAAGGATTTTATGTATTCTCTTTATATGCACGTATCTGAGCTGTAACGTTTCCTTCTCTCTTTCAATTTCTTTTAGCCATCTAAGCAGTTCTGTGTAAATATCCTTATATTCATCCCAAGCGGCAATACGTGTACATACTTCATCGTGTCTTTCGACGATCCTCGCCAAAGTCTCATTATGAAGATTTGTAAGGGTATCAAATTTATCAGCTAGATCACGATTTTTGCTTTCTCTATTTTCATTCATTAGTACAGATCGCTGAGATGTTAGGAGGTTTCTGTGTACACGACATAACCGCCTATGCTCTGTTAGGTTTTCATAGTCCGCTGGTACTGTACCAGATAGGAACGACTGAAGGTCTAGTAAATATTCGTGCCATAGTCTCAAAGCAGTCGCAGCATCACCTGATCTGACTAACGCTGTTGATAATCTGTGGTAATGTAGGAATGTATCTCTGAACATAGCCTGCCATAGTTCCAATATCCTAACAATAGAGTGTTCATCTGAAACGTCTCTATCAATATCAGGAAGCTCGGCTTTAGCGGGAGCTATATCTGCTTCGCTTTTACCCAGAGCAATAAGATTATCACGTAGAGCTATTAATTTGTCTTCAACGATTTCGCCATCTTCATGGACTGGTGTTAGATCCTATAAAATAAGAAAATAATCTTTTTTACTAACAGAACATGTAAATAAAATAATGTATCACAGTAAAATTTTCCATTATCATTGCTGTTACGCCGTAGAATTCTTAGATAAATTGATTTTTTAATATCTAAAAACATTCCGATGAAATTTTTGAACTTAAAACGTAACGTAAACTCTTTATTTGATAAATGAAAGAATGTTATTTCACTGTATTAAAATTGTAGTCCTAATAAAGTTACGTGATAATCCCCACTCGCCCTAAAAGGCGTGCCATATCCCGTGCATTGCCAATCCCTTTTCGGGCGTCTGCGTGACTCGCTGCCACAATATTACTGTTATGGATTCCGTTACTCGCTGGCAATTTATTTAAACCCAAGGGATTTTATTAAGTTAGCAAAGTAATTATTGATAAGAAATGAGTTAAAATTTTAATAATAATAAGAGAGAACGTAAATAGTTTTATTTCTTTAGTATTATTTTATATTGTGCCCGTTTCTCTAGTTGCCCGTCCACTAAGCGAATGATTTGGACTTATTGTAATTTAATTAGACTTACTGTTGCCCAGTTACTATTAAAAATCACGTGATATGTAATAATTACATACCTGTCTCATGTCAAAGAACATCTCCTTAGCGTGCTGGGCTTTCGCCCTAGCCAGCTGTCTGGCTTCGCCAAGATCAGCCAAGGCCTGCACCGCTCCAGATACCAGCTGCAGCCTCCTGGCCAAAGCATCTGCATCAGCTTGCAGTGCTCTGGATCCTGTCTCCGCTGCCACTCGTGCGGCCAAGGAACGGAGTTCTGCTACACGTGCTTCTTGTTCTAGACATGCCTGTAAACAAATATGCATAATATGTAGATTTATATATAATTATTCTCTCCTATACATTGATAAATTACTTAGTATTGTGTTTGATATGAAAACATTATATATTTTTAAGAAATTGGCATGTTAAAAGTTACAACCGTACATCGTAGGTCTTTAAGTCTGCCAATGGAATGTTAACATTCCACTAATAAGAATTTAAATAAATAATTAAGGTTTATGGAAATTATTTACGTTTATAAATATTGAGTTTACTTCAAACAGGTTAAACTTGAACTAAAAATTTTATTCATCACACTAGCTACTAATTTAGTTCAAGGGCTCGTTATATTACATCGTAATAATAACAAAATAAAAGATAAAATTGTTATTTAGATATTATGTAAGCTTATCTTTATTTTTATTCTCGTTAACAATACACTCACGTCATATCCCAGAAGAACTTGATAGAAAGAGAAGCGTAATTCACAACTGATATAATAAAATTGTAACTAATCCGAATCTGTACATTAAATATTTTTTGGAAAATCTTATTGAAATAGACATTATTATCGATACAGAGGCCGAATCTATAGTTTTTAGAATTTTTGTCAGTCTGTCTGTCTGTTACCGCATCACAGAAAAACCACTGGATGGATTTTGATGAAATTTTGTATGGTGATAGCTGGTTATCCGGGTCATCATATAGGATACTTTTTACCGCAGGAAAATCTGTCATTTCTGAGAAAAAATACAAAAACTGTAATGTAAGAGTATACTAATAGTATGTAAAACCTAAGAATTTGGTTTTTGGTCATCTGAACGCGGGCGGAGCCGCGGGCAATGCTAGTTCATTATAAAAAAATATTTTACTCTGTTGAGAGGTGTTTCGTGCTGGGGATATACTTCATACAAGGAAATATGAAATGTATATAGTGCCTGGTACAATTCCATAGTCAATGTTTATCATTTGTCTTAATTATTATTTCCTGTTTACTTTTAAATAACATTAAAATTCATAGCTTACGTAAATTGTATGTCATCTATATTAGAGTTTATCGTTTATTAAAAAAAAAGATTTTGCAGATGTGTTGTGAACTATGAAAAATAAACATATTATTCTGAGCATAGACTAAAATGTCATAGGATAAAGGAAACGATTTTTTTTAAACGCCTTACAATTAGAACTGCGTTTACGCGAATCCCAGATTACCACATCCGTGCATGACGCAAGTTAATCATGACAATATATTACATAACTAGCATTGCCCGCAGCTCCGCCCGGGTTTAGATGACCAAAAACCAAATTCTTAGGTTTTACATATTAGTATACTGTTATATTGCAGTTTTGTATTTTTTCTCGAAAATGAGACATTTTCCCGCGGTAAAAAGTATCCTATATGTTGACCCGGATAACCAGCTATCACCATACCAAATTTCATCAAAATCCCTCCAGTGGTTTTTCTGTGATGCGGTAACAGACAGACAGACAAAAATTCTTAAAACTATAGATTTGGCCTCAGTATCGATAATAATGTTTATTTCAATAAGATTTTCCAAAAAACATCTAATGTACAGATTCGGCTTAGTTACAATTTTATTATATGTATAGATATACAAAAATACAACTCAGCAATCAAATTATCCAATAATATAATTTTAGCTCGGAACGATAAAAAGTTTTTCACGTCAATTCGTCAATCTGTTACAGCGTGAAAAACTAACGAACACTCACAATCATAAAGTTTGATTTATATTTGAATAGTGTTTTAACACAAACGTAGCAGATTCGATTAATTATCATTAAACATTAATATTCCCATTGAAAAATTGGCTTACTAACATTTTTAGGTTATTTAGCTTGTATCTGAATAATAAAATTTTGTTGAAATTTGTTTTGTGGAACAAGAAAATGGAGAAAAAATCACGGTCAATAATAAGCTATTTATTATTAAACATTATACCTAAATGACAAAGTTATGCGATAAGTTTTATCAGAAATGGCGGTATATGACTCAATAAACAAACGAGGGACGATGAAAAAGGTAACACAAGGTCGATAGAGACTTTTTGTTTTCCTCGTTCATATATGAAGTAATTGTTTACCATTTGGTGAATATAATAATGTGACAAAGTTAAAATATCTAACTTGCAACGTATGTAGCATGCGAGTTGCATCCCTTTATAAGGCGGACTTTATGAACTTGTAATGAAATATATCAGAAATAAGAAACCTAATCTATACATACTGGAAGGATTTTGATGAAATTTAGTATGATGATAGCTGGTTATCCGGGTTAACATATAGGATAGTTTTTATCCCGGGAAAATATCTCATTTCTGAGAAAAAAATACAAAAACTGCATTGTACAGTATTCTAATATGTAAAACCTAAGAATTTGGTTTTTGGTCACCTGAACGCGGGTGGAGCCGCGGGCAATGCTAGTTTACTGTATATATCATTAATATATAAAATAGATAAGTTTCTGAATATTAAGTAGATATCAAAAAATAATTTAATACGCAATATAAAAATACGCAATACGTGTGTAATATGGATGTATACAGTATATTATCGAAATATAAAGAAGTTCAAACTAAGAAAAAGTATCAGTAAAGTTCGTGACTGCTTCAATATTATGATAAGATTTATTATTGAAAATCGAATCAACTAACATTTCTCCTTTCGGTTTGAATGTCTGGTTTATGTCAAAGTGAGTGCGCAATTAGTTTATATTAATCGCTGCCATTACAGTGGCGCCAGTATATATATTTTTTAGATATAAAATAAAGCCGTTAAATGTTTTTAAAATATTTATATGTATACGTTTTACTTTTTGGCACGTAGACAGTTGCCATACTGTTTCCTTCTTCTCTTCCGTCGGAATAACTAACTATACGTAGTCTTTGCATAAACGTGCTTACTATTTACATATATTAGGTGCAAAGTAAATATTTGGCTAATTTAAATACACAATATTATTATGATCTTCGACCTATTTGGTAATATGTGACTGTTCGTACAAAAAACGAAAAAAATAAACATTTTGCTTTTGCTGCTTAATGTATCGAGTTCATTGGTTTAAATTTTAAATGAAAAATATGATGTCTTGAGCAGTAAAAAAGTTAACAAGTGTGTGAAATATTTTTTTTTTTCATGTAATAAATGAACATCCAGATTAATTGAAATAATATTCATGTTTTGTTTTCAGTATATGTATATATATACTATGTATACTACAAGAAGCGAACATATATTATGCTTGAAAGAAAATATTTTGGTACAAAACATAACAATTAAATACGTTTAATCGAACTTTTTATAATATACTTTTTTGTTTTTTTTTATTCCTCTTAATTAAAGGTGGAATTGCTGTTCACATAGCTATAGCCGCGCGAAAAAAGTAAGTTAAATCGGAAAAATATTACTGAATTAATTAAATTTTGGCTGAAGAAAAGTAGGTACCAATTCAAAGTGTAACTACAATGCGTATAAATGTAGGGCTTCACTTTCAACTTTCTCGACCCTTGCCAAAACGAAGAGAAAGGCGGTATGAATCATTGTTTCCTTGAAACTAAACACTAAATATATATATATATATATATATATATATATATATATATATATATATATATATATATATATATATATATATATATATTATGTAGATAATTTATATTATCTTTTAAGATTTTAACGATGGGAACTTGAAATTATCAGACAATTATGATAAATGCCGAAGTTTATATGTATGTTTATGTTTTTCACTCCTTCGCGCTGAAAAGACCGGACGGATTTTGATGAAAGACTAAGTCCTGGAGTAATATTACCTATGTGACCTTACTATTGGCTAGCTAGGGACACACCCAAGTGAATCGCTTGTCTTACAATATATATTATTTAATTTTATTTTGACGACACATTTGGCTCAGTTTGTAGTTAAATTTCTTGCCGTGCCAGCGGTCGCGGGTTCGAGTCCCGCTGAGGGCATCCATTTGTGTGATCAGCACGAATATTTGTACTTCAGTCATGGGTATTTATATTTATAATATGTATGTATTTAAAAGTTATATATGTGTAGTGTATCAACTATCTGGTATCCATAACACAAGCCTCGTAGCTTGCCATGGAACTAGATGGTGCTATGTTAATATCCCAACATATTTATTTATTTACTGAAGTACAATACATTAAACATCTATTTCAAAATAATATGAAGTAGCTCGACAGCATTTAAAGCCCTAATTGTAAATAACTAGGTCTCCTGGTTTTAGTAGTTAACCATTTCCGGTGAACAATCAGTCCTAATGGAATAATCCACTAAATGTTAACCTCTGCCACCGTCCAAGACTTTATGGGTTTCGTCTGTTTTAGTTTCACATATCACATATCCAACTACTTATACGACTTCAATATGTACCAAAGTCCAAAGTATATTAGAAATTACTTAGATATTGGTGAATTTTAGGTGAAATACGAGTTGGAGACAGTTGAATTTGATCAGAAACTATAAATAAAAATATTAATAAACTAGCGGCTCATCCTCGCTTCGCTCAGATTCGTCTCTAGGTACGTTTTAACGGTTAGTATGGAATAGATAGTGTGTATATTATATGATATATATCGTATATCCTTCCTCAATAAACAGGCTATCTAATGCGAAAAGAATTTTTCCAATCGGTAAATATTAGTAGTTCCTGAGATTAGCGCATTCAAACAAACAAACAAACAAACAAACAAATAAACTCTGCGTCTTTATAATATTACTATAAATAAATACTATCGTAATTAGTACGTTATGCTAATTAAATCATTATGAAAGGTAAGTAATGTTAGAAATGTTGAGTCATTTGTTGTATTATGTCATGTCTAATTGTTGTTAATAAATTTAGAAATTGAAAACTAGTAAAAAATAACAGCTTATATTGAGAAATATCTGCTATATAAATATCTATATTCTATACAGATAAATAAAATTGAAATGTCTGTTAATGATGTCAAAACAGCTGTTTACTAAATGCATGAG